ACTTTCCAGTCCTGTCTCAACTTCTCTCATACAAATCATCCCTCCCCTTCAGGGCAAATGACAGCATTTAATACTGAACATCAGTGCGGACACAAATGTCTGCGTAAAAAGGCAGGAGTTCTTGCTTTTGGAAGCCCATATTGTAGACAGCATTCTTTTTTCCTCGCTGCAGCTAGACATTGCTTTCAGTGTTTCTGCAGTGGATTTTTTTTTAAATGGTATAAAATTTAAAGATAGGTTGTGTGTACACTGAAGCAACTGTTCTATTTTGAGTCACCCCAACAGAGCTCATCCTACACTGTTCTGTTTTATTTCTGTTAAGATAATCAGACAAGCACAAGACGCTATTTTCCGCCTTGCTGTAAACATATCAAAGTCACAGGGTTCCTGTTAACGGTTCAGGGCCAGCAATAAAGACAGACTCCTAGATCACTCCAGCTGCCTTCCCAATTGGAAGTTTGTCGTCAAAATCACACCATTTCCCCCCTCCCTCTAGTTTCCAGTGGGTCGATGTATATAATAATACACATGGCCTCCTAGAGCTTCCAGTCCACATTCCTGATGTCCGAGGAGCCCCTTTCTGGGTGTCTGTAATTCTTCTCCTTGCTGCCATCAACACTTCAAAAATAGAGGCATTCTTACTAGGTGGTCTTCATCCCAACCCTCCTTTCCAGTTTGAAGGATCAAAAAGACCCTAAACATAGAGAATACCTTTAATCTGTCTTTGGCTTATTTGGGGTGGACATTCAATAGACTCCTCTTTTAGAATCATAGAGTTGAAAGAGACCTTTGAATGCAATTTTCCTGCCAAGAAGCAGGAAAATTGCATTCAAAGCACCCCCGACAGATGGCCATCCAACCTCTGTTTAAAATCCTCAAAAGAAGGAGCCTCCACCACTGTACAGCTCTCACAGTCAGGATGTTCTTCCTAATGTTCAGATGGAATCTCCTTTCTTGTAGTTTGAAGCCATTGTTCCGCGTCCTTGTCTCCAGGGAAGCAGGAAAAAAAAAAAGCTTGCTGCCTCCTCCTTATGACTTCCTCTCACATATTTATACATAGCTATCATAGAATCATAGAATCAAAGAATTGGAAGAGACCTCATGGGCCATCCAGTCCAACCCCCTGCCAAGAAGCAGGAATATTGCATTCAAATCACCCCTGACAGATGGCCATCCAGCCTCTGTTTAAAAGCTTCCAAAGAAGGAGCCTCCACCACACTCCGGGGCGGAGAGTTCCACTGCTGAACGGCTCTCACAGTCAGGAAGTTCTTCCTCATGTTCAGATGGAATCTCCTTTCTTGTAGTTTGAAGCCATTGTTCCGCGTCCTAGTCTCCAAGGAAGCAGAAAACAAGCTTGCTCCCTCCTCCCTATGACTTCCTCTCACATATTTATACATGGCTATCATGTCTCCTCTCAGCCTTCTCTTCTTCAGGCTAAACATGCCCAGCTCTTTAAGCGCTCCTCATAGGGCTTGTTCTCCAGACCCTTGATCATTTTAGTCACCCTCCTCTGGACACATTCCAGCTTGTCAATATCTCTCTTGAATTGTGGTGCCCAGAATTGGACACAATATTCCAGATGTGGTCTAACCAAGGCAGAATAGAGGGAAGCATGACTTCCCTGGATCTAGACATTAGACTCCTATTGATGCAGGCCAAAATCCCATTGGCTTTTTTGCCGCCGCATCACATTGTTGGCTCATGTTTAACTTGTTGTCCACGAGGACTCCAGATCTTTTTCACACTTAGATGACCATTTGCCCAATCATTTAGCAGCAACCTATCTTTCTTGGTAGCTGGGTTCTACTGAATGCCTCCCTGCACATTTGTCTTGCTTCTCTACTAAATAATTCCTTATCCATTCTCACAGTTGCTAGGATGTTGGGAGGTTAACTTTTCCATGTGGAGTTTCAAGCCCTGTCTCATTTGTCCCTTTTTGTTCTGGCAGATCAGAGTGATACTTGATAAAATATCCTACTTGATCCTTCTACACTGCCATATAATCCAGATTATCAAAGATGCTAATCCAGATTATCTGCTTTGAATTAGATAATATTCGTCTACACTGCCAAATAATCCAGTTCAAAGCACATAGAATCATAGAGTTGGAAGAGATCTCATGGGCCATCCAGTCCAACCTCCTGCCAAGAAGCAGAAATATTGCATTCAAAGCACCCCCGACAGATGGCCATCCAGCCTCTATTTAAAAGCTTCCAAAGGAGCCTACACCACACTCGGGGGCAGAGAGTTCCACTGCTGAACGGCTCTCACAGTCAGGAAGTTCTTCCTCATGTTCAGATGGAATTGCCTTTCTTGTAGTTTGAAGCCATTGTTTCACGTTCTAGTCTCCAGGGAAGCAGAAAACAAGCTTGCTCCCTCCTCCCTGTGGCTTCCTCTCACATATTTATACGTGGCTATCATGTCTCCTCTCAGCATTCTCTTCTTCAGGCTAAACATACCCAGCTCCTTAAGCCGCTCCTCATAGGGCCTGTTCTCCGGACCCTTGATCATTTTAGTTTCCCATGGACTATACACATTTATATACAAAGGGAAAATAACTGGCTTTTGTTTTGATTCTATATGAGTTTGTCACGTTGGCATGAGGGCTCTCCTTGCCTCTTCCCTGCTTTACGTCTTGCTTCCTAATCAGTTCTACTATCCCCTCTTCTTTGGAATTCCTCAACTTGCTTTGCTTTTGCGCCAAATGGACCATCGTCCAAAGGTCTTTCTCCCCAGTCTTTACAGATACTAGAACAAAGCCAAAAGGAGTACTTACATTTCTAATAGGAAAAAGCAACACAGGTGATTCTGAAATACTAAAAAAATAAAATAAAGCATAGCTGAAGCTAGGACTTTGCATTTACCTAAAGCTTGGAAGCATTTTTAGAGTCACGGTGTAGTGATAAAAGCAAGCCAAAGATTTGAGGGAGAGGACAAAAAAGCAGAAACATCCAAGTCAAGGCCAACAAGCAAACAAGGACCGAGGGCAAAATCACTATCTTAATCAGGCTCTTCAACTTCGGATCATTAAGCAAAAGCTATTCACATCTGTGACCTTTCATTCCCAGCAATGAGGACCAAACATTCAAAAGTGGAAGCACAAGTTCTTAGGATTTACCAAGTGTTTAAGTCACTTTCCATATCTCTGTGTTTATGGCATGACTGTAGCCTGTGTGGATTCCTAGCTTCACCAAGAGCAAAGAAATGATAATTCATTAGTACTCATAAAAAAACAGAGACAGATTCTTCACATATTCTTTTTAAATTGCATTATAAATAAAATGTTTACAACCTCCTTCACTGAGGAGCAAGACAGACAGAAATCAAGGCTTAACTATGCACCATAGGCCTGGCCATGGCACAAAGATGGCATTCATACCAGGGAATATCTGACTTGGAGCAGGATAGGAAAAATGGAACTCTAATCCAGATAAGAGTGTAGGATTATGTTTTGGATCCAAACAGTTGTAGCTTTGGTTATAGGAAAATAACTGAGCCCTAGCACAGATCTTGTTTGTTCTCCATTGTCAATAAGGAGCAGAAACCTTCATATTTGGTAAAACAAAAGGAATTGGAGAGAAACAGATGGGACGGAGGGCTCATTTATTCCAATGCCCTCTTGACTATAGAAGTCCCTGAAAACATTTTATAAAAAGGTGAATATGGATCAGATTCAGGTTTCTATGTACATATTCACCTGCGTTAGCAGTTTGTGTTACTTCAGGAATGAGAAACGTGCATATATTAGAGGGGTTAAAAACAAAATTGCATATCCAATTAAATGCTGTTCCGAACCCTAAAAAACAGGGTTGAAACAGCAAAATTTAAAAACTAGACACAATGGGTGAGGACTGCAAGGGTCTGGGATGACCAAAAATGGGATGGATGCAGCTCTTGCACCCTCTGTGGCTGCCCCCTTCTGGTTTACCTAGAAGTAATGTTAAGCTGTGTACATATAAACACTAAGGCAAATCTGGGAGCCCACAGAGACATACAAGCTGGATGCATCCTGTGCAATTTTGATGAAATACTCCCCACCAATTTCAAGTAAATCTAAACTGGGTTGTTGTAAGTTTTTTCGGGCTATATGGCCATGTTCTAGAGGCATTTTCTCCTGACGTTTCACCTGCATCTATGGCAAGCATCCTCAAAGGTAGTGAGGTCTATTGGAACTAGGAATATGGGTTTATATATCTGTGGAATGACCAGGGTGGGACAAAGAACTCTTGTATGTTGGAGCTAGGTATGAATGTTTCAGCTGACCACCTTGATTAGCATTTGATGGCCTGGTAGTGCCTGGGGCAATCTTTTATTGAGAGGTGATTATGTCAGGTTTTACAATGTTTTGTAATGTAATATAACTGAGTCATGCACTGCTAATGGGCTTCTATTGGAAATGCTGAGTCATGCATTAACTGTATATAGAACTTCATTTGGGGAATGTGTTCTGGCCTAGTCCAGGTGATTGTGAATGATGTAATCCTGGGTCTGAGTTAAGTCAATGAGTTGGGAACCAATCGGTGATTGCTATGTGTAAATGAATTGTATATAAGGAAGTCGTGTACAGTGTATATTTCTCCTTGTGCTGTGATGTTGTTTGTCGAAGGCTATTTGTAATTAAAGAACCTGTCTGCAAAGACAAGATATAACTGTATGCTGTGTGTAAGTTTGCAATATCATCTAGACTGGGGGAAAGACAATGGTAAAACTGACAATGGCCGGGCATGTGTTCAAGTGTCTGTAAAAGGTTCCAGCGTGACTGCACGCTGTGGGAGCAGTTGACTAAAAATACTGTGCAGGAAGAAGCTACTGGAAAGCGCTGAAGTTGTGCAACAGATCTGCTGCTGAATTGTGAAGTTAATCTCAACAGATTAGATGTGCCTGATTGTTTCCCCTCTGTTGTTTTGCTGTTGTAATTTTAGAGTTTTTTTAATACTGGTAGCCAGACCTCACTACCTCTGAGGATGCTTGCCATAGATGCAGGCAAAACGTTAGGAAAAAATGCCTCTAGAACATGGCCATATAGCCCGAAAAAACCTACAACAACCCAGTGATTCCGGCCATGAAAGCCTTCGACAATACATTAAATCTAAACTGTCTCTCTCTGGTTAAAAAAATACCCTGTTTGATCCCCAAATCATTCATCAACGCAGATAATGGGATGTACCCATTTCTTTCCCAAATATCCCGTTTAGCCTCTGTGTGGAAGAGCTCCTCCAGAACTTACAATAACACTACAAAGCCTAGATCCAATTCTACCCTGGAGAGTGAACTTTCCTTCCACTGCTAACTTTTGGAGGTGCAGAAGAGGCACTAAAAGGTAGAAAGGGGCACCCATTGATGGTTGTCCTTGTAAGAATCACACACACAGCTCCCAGCTGGCATTTGGAAGAAGGGAGGGAAACAGGCACTCCTGCTGCAAATCCTGCCCCAGAAGGCACTGCTGTGATGGAACGTGTGTGGATTTTAGCCCTGCTTTGGAAAGGAATTAGTAAGAGGCATGCCAGATAGAAAAGGATCTTTGGTCTGCATTGGAAAGGTAAAAGTAGTGGAGGATTATCCAAAAGACACATTATTAGGCAACCACCCCCTGGAGACTAGCTACATAAAAAGGCAGTCAGGATGCCCTGTGAAGGGAATAGCAAAGCCAAACCCTTCAGCCTAGGTACATGAGTGGGCAGACCAACTTCTTAAAAGAAAGGCCAGGCTCAGGACCCTGACGACCTAGGTTTTAAATGGCTCCCAGATATCACTGCCTTCTTCCCTGAGTCAAGAATGTTGGAGCAATCATTCTTGTTGTTCCATGAACAGCTGGAAGCCTCAAATGGTTGGTGGTCAAAAAGGGAGAGTGAAAGACAGAACAAGAGAAAAGAGAGGAGAGAGCCGGAGTCCTTTGGCTAAACCCAGCCTTCAGAAAGACAAGGACACAGAACCCAAAGTGGGCCAGCCGTCAGCTACATCTGGAAGCCCAAGGTCCATGTGCGTAAATCAAATCTTGATTTCAGTCAGGAAGAAGATCTGCAAAAGGTCTTGGCCAGATCTGGAAGGCCTTACAATCAGAAGCTTCCTATGGGGGAGCATAGCCCACAGCAGGACAGGAGGCCGGAAACCAGATCATTCCCAGGACCTTTTTCCCCAGGTTATTTCCTTCTTCTTAGAGTGACAAGACTGGCAGGCCCCGCAGGTTGGAGCAAGTCTGGAATGATGCAGAAAGAGATCCCAAATCTCAGTGCACAGCAAGTCACATATCCCCAGCATGGCTGAAATCTGGGGGAATGTAAGGAGTTGACAATGCTTTTCTGCATTGGGTCCCTGTGGTTCAGGCAGTCCATTGTATTGGGGGTCTGCTTTTTAGGCTTCAACCTTCCGCAGACTCAATCTGTTGAAGGAGTTTCTGGAGGAGAAAACAAGCAAAACAGTAAGATCATTTTATGCAGGAAGGAATTTGTGCACTGTGCTTTAACCCCAGCAGGCTTAAAAAAGGAATTTATTCGATGATGGGTGTCACAGGCAGATTATTATTATTATTATTATTATTATTATTATTATTATTATTTCTCGCACTTCTACCCCGCCCTTCTCAACCCCCGAGGGGGGACTCAGGGCGGCTTACAAAAAGGCACAATTTGATGCCGGCACAACAACAAGGTAAAAAATAAAACATATAAACAGTAATTAAAACAATTAAAACAATCCATTATACATCACAATCCCTAAAAACAATCTAGTGCTCAACGTTTACCAGCTCAGAGTCCATAAATTCAAATTCCATATTGTCCAGTCCATCAATTCTAGTCGTCGCTTGTCCCTTATCTATCCGCCAGATTACCCGAAGGCCTGGTCCCAAATCCATGTTTTTAATTTCCTTCTAAAGGAGAGGAGGGATGTCGATGACCTAATTTCCCCGGGAGTGAGTTCCACAGGTGAGGGGCCACCACCGAGAAGGCCCTGCTCCTCGTCCCCACCAATCTCACTTGTGATAGAGGTGGGGCCGAGAGCAGTGCCTCCCCAGAAGATCTTAAACTCCGAGGCGGGACGTAGAAGGAGATGCGTTCGGACAGATACGCTGGGCCGGAACCATATAGGGTTTTGTAGGTCAAAACCAGCACTTTGAATTGTGCTCGGAATTGGATCGGCAGCCAGTGGAGCTGACATAACAGAGGGGTGGTATGCTCCCTGTATGATGCTCCGGTGAGTAATCTAGCTGCCGCCCGCTGGACTAATTGAAGTTTCCGAACAGTCTTCAAAGGCAACCCCACATAGAGTGCGTTGCAGTAATCTATTCGGGATGTAACAAGAGTGTGGACCACTGGCCAGATCAGACTTCCCAAAGTACGGGTGCAACTGCTGCACAAGTTTTAATTGTGCAAAAGCTCCCTGGCCACCGCTGAGACCTGGGGTTCCAGGCTCAGCGATGAGTCCAGGATCACTCCCAAGCTGCGAACCTGCGTCTTCAGGGGAGTGTAACCCCATCTAACACAGGCTGTAACCCTATGCCCTGTTCGGCCTTACAACTGACCAGTAGGACCTCTGTCTTGTCTGGATTCAGTTTCAATTTGTTAGCTCTCATCCAGTCCGACACAGCCGCCAAGCACCGGTTCAAGGTTTGGACAGCCTCCTTGGTGACAGGTGGAAAGGAGTGACAGATTTGGACATCATCTGCATAGAGATAACACCTCATTCCGAAACTCCGAATGCTCTCCCCCAGCGGCTTCATGTAGATGTTAAACAACATCGGGGACAGAATTGAACCCTGTGGGACTCCACACAACAATGGTTGTGGGGCCGAACAGGTGTCACCCAGTAACACCTTCTGAGACCGTCCCTCGAGAAAGGACCCCTTTCCTTGAGAAAGGACCCCAGATGAACAAATCTGCAACCTTATAGATTAAATCTACAGACCAAAGAACCAAGCCACTAAAACCACAAATCTACTGCCCTCATAAAAGGGGTTTACGGTGCTTCTAAAATATTGCATAGGAAGGAATGACTCTAATACAGGGGTCCTCAAACTTTTTAAACAGAGGTACGTCCACCTATCCCAAAACACTCCTCCTATCTCCCTTTAAACTTCCCGCTTTTTAATTTTAAATTTTCACATTTGGCCCTGCCTCATGTTTTTAAATGTGTCGTGTTATTATTGTATTGCTTTGCTTCTTATGAGTTATTTATTGTTTTTGCTGTTGTTGTTTTTATGATGTTGTTGGGCTTGGCCTCTTGTAAGCCGCACCGAATCCTGCGGGAGGTGGTAGCGGGATATAAGAACAATAAATAATAATAATAAATAATAAAAGGAGAAAGAGAGGAGAGAGCCGGAGTCCTTTGGCTAAACCCAGCCTTCAGAAAGACAAGGACACAAAACCCAAAGTGGGCCAGCCTCCAGCTACATCTGGAAGCCCAAGGTCCATGTGCGTAAATCAAATCTTGATTTCACAGTCCCTCAAACTGTTGGAGGGCCGGATTATAATTTGAAAAAAAACCCATAAATGAATTCCTATGCATACTGCATATATCTTATTTGTAGTGCCAAAAACACTTAAAAACAATACAATAATTAAAATGGAGAACAATTTTAACAAATATAAACTTATTAGTATTTCAATGGCAACTGCTTTTGGCTGATGAGATAGGATTGTTGTTGTTGTTGTTGTGTGCTTTCAAGGCGTTTCAGACTTAGTTTGACCCTGAGTAAGGGCCGGCCCTTGGGCCTTAGTTTGGGGACCTATGCTCTAATGTATCAAACAGCCATGAGAAGAGTTGTAAGAAGCCTCTTCAAAACCTATGTGCAGAACAGTGGAGGGATAGACAGATGTATGCACAAAAGGAACCATAGAGAAATTTCCCCTTCCCCTATGTTGAAGAATAAATTGTCCTGCTTTGCTTTAAGGAGTTAGACTAGATGTCCTTCTAGTGATGTCCAACTCTACCATTGGCTACCATTAATCAACTTTCCCTTTGTAACTAAAAATGAGGTATGAACATAATAAGAAAATTAAAAAACCCTGAATATTTGACCTAAAAAACCCCCTAACTTTCCAGGTTATTCAGGGTTTTTTTTGTGTGTGTCAGGAGCGACTTGAGAAGTTGCAAGTCGCTTCTGGTTTTTAGGTTGTTTTTTTTTGTCGTGTCAGGAGCAACTTGAGAAACTGCAAGTCGCTTCTGGTGTGAGAGAATTGGCAAGGATGTTGTCCAGGGGACGCCTGGATGATTTGATGTTTTTATCATCCTTGTGGGAGGCTTCTCTCATGTCCCCGCATGAAGAGCTGGAGCTGATAGAGGGAGCTCATCCACCTCTCCCCGGATTCGAACCTGCGACCTGTCGGTCTTCAGTCCTGCCCGCACAGGGGTTTAACCCACTGCGCCACCGTCGCTTCTGGTGTGAGAGGGTTGGCCGTCTGCAAGGACATTGCCCAGGGGACATTGCCCAGATGTTTTACCATCTTGTGAGTCTTCTCTTATGTCCCCGTATGAAAAGCTGGAGCTGACAGATGGGAGCTCACCCCACTTCCCAGATTCAAACCGACAACCTTTCGGTCAGCAGTCCTGCAGGCACAAGGGTTTAACTCATTGCCCCACCGGGGGCTCCAGAATTACTCAGAGTGAGAATACCACACTGGATAATTACTATCTCTAGGTGCATTTTGAGTTGGGAGAGGTGGAAGAATTTATGAAAACAAAAGTTAAGAAACATGTGCCATGCTTGGCAATACAATGTGACAATCTAGAGCTCTAAAAATGTTCCACCAGGATCACTGTATACAGTCAAATACTATGTTCATATTTGTTGAAATGATGTTGATTAGAAGTCTGGGGTGGCTGAACCAGTTTTGATGGCTGTCTTTGGCAAAACTGGCTATTAGCTTAAGGTACCTTGTGACTCCCTCTTCATTTCCCACGTCACATAGCCTCACCTGTGTACAGAAAGGGGAGTAACAGGGTTGTAGAGTTGAGGGATTTTGCGGTTGAGAAGCGGGCACAAGGCTTCCTTCAGACGCTGGTAGTTTCTCTCCAGCTCTCGGAGGAACTCGCGCTGGTCTGGTCCAATCAGGGTCTTACTCTTGCGGAGGGCGTCTTCACACCTGAAAAAGCAGTGGCAGTAGCAGAGGTGCAATAGAATAATAAAAGAGTTGGAAGAGACCACATGGGTCATCTAGTTCAAATGTTTGTTATTTGGCCTACAATCCCCAGCCAAGCCTTGCTCAGAACGGAATTTCAGAAATTACTGTATATACTCGAGTATATGCCTAGTTTTTCAGCCTTTTTTTTAGGTTGAAAAAGTTCCCCTCGGCTTATACTCGAGACAAGGTTATTTATTATTTTACTCTGTTATTATTATTATTTTCATTTCATTTATTATTTTATTCTATTTATTATTATTACATTTATTATTTTACTGTATAATTGTTGTTATTGCTACATTCATTATTTTACTCTTTTTATTATTTTTATTATTGTTATTATTACATTTGTTATGTTGCTCTCTTTATTATTATTGGAAGGATACGTAAGTACATTTACATTGAAGAAGGTAAATAATCATTTAATCAGAGTTGGACAGTCTTATCGTAAATTACCCTTTTTGTAAATATTCAAAAATATATAACCTGATTCCTCAATTAATGTAATTTAATTGGTATCTATTTTTATTTTGCAATTTACCAGTAGCTGCTGCATTTCCCACCCTTGGCTTATACGATTCAATACGTTTTCCCAGTTTTTTGTGGTAAAATTAGGTGCCTCGGCTTATATTCGGGTCGGCTTATACTCAAGTATATACGGTAATTATTTCCTCCCTTTGGGCATAGGCCACAGACATCGCAGGATACTTAATATTTAGTGCAAAGAGTCACCATGGAGAACCCAGAGATTCTAGAGCAGGGGTCCTCAAACTTTTTAAAAAGAGGGCCAGGTCACAGTCCCTCAAACTGTTGGAGGGCCAGATTATAATTTGAAAAAAACATGAATTAATTCCTATGCACACTGCACATATTTTATTTGTAGTGAAAAAGCATTTAAAAACAATACAAAAATTAAAAATGGAGAACAATTTTAACAAATATAAACTTATTAGTATTTCAATGGGAAGTGTGGGCCTGCTTTTGGCTGATGAGATAGGATTGTTGTTGTGTGCTTTCAAGTTATTTCAGATGATGTGACTGAAGAATCACTTCATAATATGAGGGGTATTTTTTAAGTAAGGTCCGTTTTGTTGTAGACACTAGTAGTTCGCGCGCATACCACAACGAGTGCGTGCGTCATGTACCGGCATGCCTCAGGAACAACTGCTCAGTTTCCGCTCTGTAGCTAACCTGTACGGTTCTGTTCTGTGCTTGGAAAATGTTTAAGACTATCAACTCACCCTCCGCATGTGAGGTTCGCTCAGTGATACGGTTTTTGTCTGCCTACTGAAGAAATTCATCGACAGATTTGTGAAGTGTACGGTGATACTGTTATGAATGAAAGCAAAGTGCGTAAGTGGGTACGACAATTCAAAGATGGCCGTGACAACGTCCATGATGAGGACCGCTCCGGTCGCCCTTCTTTGATTACAGTGAACTCTTGGTTATCGGAGCAGGCGGCAAGTTTTTATGAAGAGGGTATTTTAAAATTGGTTCAGAGGTATGATAAGTGTTTGAACAAACTTGGCAACTATGTCGAAAAATAGAGTGAAGTATGTACTTTCTGAAAATAAATTTACTTCTTTGAAATAAACTTTCGTTGTGTACTTATGTTCAAATGGACCTTACTTAAAAAATACCCCTCATATATCTACCTACGAAGCATCCAGAGCCTGGAAGTTTCTTCGTAGATGGCTACAACTCTCAGGTAGCTTTGCTGGTAAATTCTGGGAATCCTAATAAAAAAAGGGAGTTTTGCCAGTTCTGCTTGAAGCTTGAAATTATCTTCAAATACCCTTTTCTATCTATCCCTGTCAACTGAAATGCAGTGCGGTTACTAGAGAAAGGGCAACGTTTTAATGGCCTTTTCAGCACCAGGTGAAACCTCCTCCCTTCTGCTCTGAGAATTCTGAATTTTGAATCCACTGAACTTTGGGTCTGTTAGGATGTTATTAATGGTGCCACATGCTCTCTCCACCTCAAACTAGTATTCTGAATGTCCTAAACCAGATCTTTGTGATCATTGGGTTATTGTGAGTTTTCCAGGCTGTATGGTCATGTTCCAGAAGCATTCTCTCCTGACATTTTGCCTGCATCTATGGGAAGCATCCTCAGAGGTTGTGAGGTCTGTTGGAAACTAGGAAAAAGGGGTTTATATATCTGTGGAATATCCAGGGTTTCCAAAAGACTTCACAACCTCTGAGGATGACTGCCATAGATGCAGGAGAAACATCAGGAGAGAATGCTTCTGGAAACATGACCATACAGCCCCAAAAACTCACAACAACCCAGTGATTCTGGCCATGAAAGCCTTTGACAATACTTTGTGACCATTAGTTTTAACAACTCTTTCAAACCATCTAGAGCAGGGGTCCTCGAACTTTTTAAACAGAGGGCCAGATCACAGTCCCTCAAACTGCTGGAGGGCCGGATTATAATTTGAAAAAAAAAATGAATGAATTCCTATGCACACTGCACATATCTTATTTGTAGTGCAATTTTTTAAAAAAACAATACAATAATTAAAATGAAGAACAATTTTAACAAATATAAACTTCTCAATAGGAAGTGTGGGCCTGCTTTGGCTGATGAGATAGGATTGTTGTTGTTGTGTGCTTTCAAGTCGTTTCAGACTTAGGTTGACCCTGAGCGAGGGCGGGTAAATGACCTTGGAGGACCGTATCCGGCCCCCGGGCCATAGTTTGAGGACCCCTGATCTAGAGAACTGCTACTAGGTGGCATACAGATGTGATCTTAGTAAAATTCTGGCAAAGAATGGCTTTAAGACAGTTCTTTTTGCATTAGTACCTCTTGGTGAAGTCCTTGAAACAGAGCCGTAGCTTATTGTGGTGCCGGTACAGCTTGGGGTCATCCGGGATCTCAGCTAAGAACACCTGTGCCACTTCCAGAGGGCCCTGAAACACAACAGGTAATGAGGTCAAGTTGGGGCATGGAGTCCCGACTCCATTTCGTGCCTGGGAGAAGAGACAGGGGTCTTCAAACCTCATCACCTCTCACCTGGCACACAACAGCGTCTGGCACACAATCTGATCCTCTATTCTTGTTATGACTATGTAAAGGTTCTTCAACTCAATAACAGGCTCCATTCCTCTGCTCTCAGCATCAGTTTTAATCTGAACTGTCTTTTCTGAGGATTAGGCTCTGTTCTCAACTCACAGGCTTTACACGTTTCCTAGCTTGACATAACACCCACTCTTTGCTCACAATGAAGCGTTATTTCTATTAAAGCATCACCTGGTTGACTATGGTGCCCACACATCCCTGCAGCACCATTTGCAACATTTTGCCATCGGGTGGATCCTGGTGGGTGGCAAAAGCCAGCTCTTGAGTCTTCTTCTGCATGTCCTCAATGGCTACCTCAATTGGGATGAGAATAATCTGAGGATAGAGACCAAGCAATGGAAACACAAATAGTAAATGTCAGAAGATTGTTTCTGTGCACCTGAGGATTTGTGCTTCATTTCGAAATAATATAAACAATCCAAATCAAGCAAAGAGGAAATCTATGATCCACATGCATTATACAAGCTGAGCATATCTGTTTGATCTCTTTATTGTATGTATTGTCGAAGGCTTTCATGGCCGGAATCACTGGGTTGTTGTAGGTTTTTTTGGGCTGTATGGCCATTTTCTAATAAATAATAATAATAATAATAATAATAATAATAATAATAATAATAATAACATTTTATTTGTACCCCGCTATCATCTCCCCAAGGAACTCGATGCGGCTTACATGAGGCCGAGCCCGAACACAGCAATACAAACAATAATCACAACAATACAAGTAATTAAAATAAAAACATAAACAGTAAACATATAAGGTTCTTGTGGGTTTTTTCGGGCTATATGGCCATGTTCTAGAGGCATTTCTCCTGACGTTTTGCCTGCATCTATGGCAAGCATCCTCTGAGGATGCTTGCCATAGATGCAGGCGAAACGTCAGGAGAAATGCCTCTAGAACATGGCCATATAGCCCGAAAAAACCCACAAGAACCTAGTGATTCCAGCCATGAAAGCCTTCGACAATACAGTAAACATGTAACATTATCAATAAGACAACATACAATTAAAAACTGTGGGAAGGCCAAATGTAAAATTAAAATTGGAAATAGTGCTGAACGTGGACGAAAGGTGATAGTAGCGTTTGTGGAAAGCATTCTCCTCTGACGTTTCGCCTCCATCTATGGCGAAACCTCTGAGGATGCTTGCCATAGATGCAGGTGAAACGTCAGGAGAGAATGCTTCTAGAACATGGCCATATAGCCCGAAAAAACCTACAACAACCTCTTTATTATAGTTCATCCTGCAGTATTTATTGTATTGCATAATAGGCTCTGGTTTTGCCAGTCACATGGGGGAGCAGCTAAGACTCCTTCTACATTGCCATATAAAATACAGATTATCTGCTTTGAAGTGGATTATATAGCAAGGTAGACTCATATAATCCAGTTCAAAGCAGATAATGTAGATTATCTGCTTTGATAATCTGGATTATATGGCAATTTAGAAGGGACCCAATGAAGTTTTGCAAAACAATGAATCTAACTGGGTTGCTGTGAGTTTTCCTGGCTGTATGGTCATGTTCCAGAAGCATTCTCTCCTGACATTTCATCCACATCTATGGCAGGCATCTTCAGAGGTTATGAGGTCCAACTACTCCTCATATTGTCCGGCAATGGAAATGCTATGTAATCACTTCTCCAGCCTTGAGAATTCAGAGAAGTCAGCCATAGCAGAGCACCTGATGAACCAACCTGGATACAGCATATTATTTGAGAACACAGAAATGCTGGACCACTCTAACAACCACCATGTCAGACTACACGGAGAAGCCACTGAAATCCACAAGCATGTGGACAATTTCAACAGAAAGGAGGAAACCATGAAAACAAACAAAATCTGGCTACCAGTATTAAAAAAACTCTAAAATTACAACAGCAAAACAACAGAGGGAAAACAATCAGGGATATCTAATTACCTCTCAACAAAAGATTGCCCCAGGCACTGCCAGGCCATCAAATGATAATCAAGGTGGCCAGTTGAAACATTCACACCTAGCTCCAGCAGACAAGAGTTCTTTGTCCGACCCTGGTCATTCCACAGATATATGAACCCTTATTCCTCGTTCCAACAGACCTCACTACCTCTGAGGATGCTTGCCATAGATGCAGGCGAAACGTCAGGAGAGAATGCCTCTAGAACATGGCCATATAGCCCGAAAAAAACCTACAACAACCCAATTCAGTGTCGGTTGCACATGTAATTTTAAGCAAATTTCCACTACTGTAGGGACTACAATAATTTTCAGCATGTTGAATAGCAGACTTAGGCCCCTTCTACACTGCCATATAATCCTGATTATCAAATCAGATAATCCACATTATCTCCTTTAAACTGGATTATATGAGTTTATACTGCAATACAGCCCATTTCAAAGCCAGTAATCAGGATTTTATACAGCAATTTAGAAGGTGTCTTCATCAAGGAAGAATGATTCTCAACAAGTTGAAACCCATACTAGGCACTGCAGTCTGTATTCTTTACAACTGCTTCCCCCAAAGTCTCAATGCCCCCTCCATTTTCACATGCCCTCCTTCCCATACACCCCAAAGTACCTCTTCCTTGTGAATGACGTTGATGCGTGTTTTGATGTAGGGGAAAGCATGGGAAGTGGTGAGCAAAGTTTTGCGCTTGAACTGCTCATGCAGGTCACCATGTGCTCGCCCATCCAATGTGAAAGGCGTACAAAACATGAAGGTGCGGAGGTTGTAGTTCTTGTCAAAATATGTGACCCGATCCTTTAACTCATATGTGTCGAAAAATGGTTCCACATATGTCAACTGGATGTATGCCTGTGGCAGGAAAGACAAAACAAAACAGGTAGCAAAAAAAAAAAAAAATCAGCAACCGATCACCTTGAGCTGAAATTGTCTCTTCAACTACCAATAACAAAACAAAACAAAATAACAATGCTCCATGCAGTCATGCCGGCCACATGATCTTGGAGGTGTCTACGGACAACGCCGGCTCTTCGGCTTAGAAATGGAGATGAGCATCACATCCCAGAGTCGAACACGACTGGACTTAATGTCAGGGGCCAACCTTTACCTTTACTTAAACCTAACAAAACATGTGGGCATTTGGGTCAGAGACATCTTCCACCGTTCACATTTCAGAGACCAAGCTATGCCTGCTAGGGACCTATTAAATCATTCTACTCTGTATACAGCACAGGGGAGAAGGAATGCCTCGACTCAGTCCCATTGCTTTAAAAAGGCTCCTCTTTGTGGATGCAAACTCTTCAAATATCTGTTACTAAAAGTTATACCGCCCATGTTAATTGGGGGATTCTGGGAGTTGTAGACCAAAACGGAACTCCCCCAAACTTTTCAGGCCTCACCAAAAATGTCCAGTGGCCAACCTCAATCTCTCTCCCACAGCTCCACAGCCTGTTATGCAATTCACTTCCAAAGCACCAGGAGCATTTTTTGTAGATAAGTCAGAGATTGGTGCTTCGGTGTCTCTAGTGACAAGCTGGATAAACAACACATTGAGATGCAAGGGAGAAGCTACCTTGTTGGGATCCAGCTTTGCTTTGTCAACAGGGTTGGAGCCTTTGATGATTTCTACCATTTCATGCCCAAAGCGCTCAGCGTAAAATTCCTGCAGAGGGAAAGGAGACAAGGAAGTGGTCTGAGGCAAAGCAAAAGTGACAGTGAAAGTTTTGGGTGTCTGCAGCTGTTCAAACCAAAGAAAATTCCTTGCAGCTGTCATGGAGTGAGAACTACTCCTGCTTCTCAAGGCCAAAGTAGACATTGTGTTTATTTATTACATATAGACTGTGCTGAGAAGAGGCAGAATAGGTTCACATTTTACATTTAAAAGTGAGCATGTGTGATCAGGAGCAAGACCTACCTCTTTTATTGTTTACATATTTAAGTCATTTTCCCTGGCCCAGCTCAGACACCAGAAAAAGTGAGTTGGAGGAAAACAGTTTCACTGACTTGAATGTAACAGGATGGGGTGAGGGCTTCTCCTAAACCTAGCTTATTTTTAAAAAAGTAGACTTATGCTCTCCCCTAGTTGCTAACTGGGCAAGTGTGTATTTAACAACACATGAATATTGCGTGTCAACCTTCAAAGCAAAGGGTGGGAAAGGCCTTAGGGCCCAGGTACTGGGATGTACATAGGCCATGGCTGAGGAAAGTGGTGTGAAACTCTGTGAAAATATTCACCAGCACAAATGACCCCAAAGCCTTTATGATCACTTTAGCTGTGCTTGGATGACACGTGGGTGAAATCTGGGACAAGAAACAGGGTATCAAGGCTAAAGACAAAGAGCTGGATAGAAATTGCATACATTTTCAAAGATGATGGACTACAGGGAGAGCGGGGTGGTGATGGGCATTTTATCACAACATGATGAAAGGGAACTTCTTACAAGTTACAGCTTTTTTGCTTTTTCAATACCGTTTCGTTTACCATTAACTACTATATTGTATTCTCAACAAGACGAGAGGTGACAAACTGAATGCTTAGGAACAGAGTGGCAAAATATTAGCAGAACTGTCATCGCAGGACTAATCAGAATAAAACTTTTAAAGGAAGAGAGAAGGTAATAGATGTTAACTGAAAAGAATCTCTGCTTTCCCTGTTTATTTTCTCTTGTATCCTCTTGCCTTTCTCTACAATCACCTGCAGTGTCACTTTAGATAGAAGCTGGCAACAGTGGTTTTTTTTTTTTTGTAGTGTCAGGATCGACTTGAGAAACTGCAAGTCGCTTCTGGTGTGAGAGAATTGGCCGTCTGCAAGGACGTTGCCCAGGGGACGCCCGGATGATTTGATGTTTTTATCATCCTTGTGGGAGGCTTCTCTCATGTCCCCGCATGAGGAGCTGGAGCTGATAGAGGGAGCTCATCTGCCTCTCCCCGGATTTGAACCTGTGTCCTGCTGGCACAGGGGTTTAACCCACTGCGCCACTGGGAGCTCCATGACGGTGGTGATTCAGGGACAATTATTTAGGGCGCGGGGCGGGGCGGGGCGGGGCGGGGGGGGGGGGGGTTGGAGGTTCAAAAACTGCATAAAACACCAGTAAAAAAAAATCTAAAATAGGATGAAATTCACTCTTGTGAATATTTAACAATGCAAAATGAGAGGGACACATTGACAATTTATTTAAAGGGGGATTTTTTAAAAACATAATTGGCTGTGGCTCAAGGATCACAAAAACAGGCCAAATTTGGTCCTGGCAATGTACTTTATCCACTCCTGTTTTAGATGGTAAACTCTAATGGGGGTGGGTGGGTAATATTTTGTTTAGTTGTGCATTTATTCATTCACTGCGGAAACAGTCTAAACACAAAATAACAAGTAAATTAAAGTAAATAACAGCTGCTCTGGCCAGAGCAAAGACAGAGGGGAGCAGAAGACATTTCCATCTTGTCTTTACTAATAATATAATATAATATATTGTATATACATATAATATTTATAATATTATAATGTAATACAATATAATACTAGTAATAATAATACAATATTATAATTATATATTTACATTACATGCAATATTACTAATAATATTACAATATAATGGTATAGTGCAATATAGTAATATATAATACTGATATTGTACTATGCTAATAATATAATATATTGTATGAAAATATATATTGTACACTGCTCTGAGTCCCCTTCGGGGTGAGAAGGGTGGCATATAAATGCCGTAAATAAATACATAATAAATAAATAAATAAATAAATTACATGCAATTCAACTAGTCTTTACAAGGTAAATGCATAAACTGCACTGAATACATATATGGTGATAAAGCAAGGGAGTTAGACTCCAGCAAAGCATTCCAGCGGGGAAGCATGCGGGAATGCGGAAGTGCTTCATCAGTGTCGCAGATGGATGATGAAAGCGACAGCTCCCCTGGCGGCCAGAAAAAGTTAAATAGCCTCTGTCTATGTCTGTATACATTTGTATGTCAAAAATTGGCATTGAATGTTTGCCATATATGTGTACACTGTAATCTGCCCTGAGTCCCCTGCGGGGTGAGAAGGGCGGAATATAAAAGCTGTAAATAAATAAATAAATAAATAATAGTATGCTAGGGCAAGGAAAGTATATGGAAATGTACTAATTAACATCATCAACTGAACCGGCCCGAGCCCTATAGTTACCCTGCCGTTTTCTATACATCCTTGTCCCTCCTGCAAGTTATTACATTCCTGCCACACTTGGTTCACCGTAATTGCTTGACATGCATCTTTCAAGGACACTTTCACTCTTACCTCAAGTCTGTGGGATATTTCTGCCAATTTGGTGATGGAGGGCTCCTTATAAACGAACTCCTGCTCATCCAGGTCTCCAAACTTGGAGCCATAAAAACCAACCCGGAAGTATGTTCCAAACATTCTCTACATGACCTACGGAGATGGATTGGGAGATACCATGAGAAGAAGTAGGCAGTTTGTACAGTGGCAGTAAAAACACAAAATACTAAGCCAACAACCTAACTTATGCCCAGAGCTCCTCATCCCTGGAATTTTCCATATTCAGTAACAAGTAAAAAATCTAGTGCTTTTTCATCCTTGATCCCATTTTAATTAGGTCCATGAAGACCCACCACAGTGACTATTAAGATGATTTAGGATGTTCACTTGGGAATAAAAGGCAAAGCCTGAAACAACAAACTGCAATTTACGTAACGTCAGGCAACAAGTTACCCAGAAGGAACAAAGGTGCAACAACAGTACATTTCAAAAGTAGGAACTTTATTGAGATAAGTAATATCTTAGTAGCTTTCACTAGTTACTCTTGATAAGCTATTTAAAAATCCTTCTGACATGATTTTTTTTGGTTTCTTTTATCATTCTAAACCACTATTCAACCCCAATGCAATGAATTATATTTTTAAAGCACCACAACTAATAACAATGAAGTACTCTCAAAACACAATATATAAATAACAGGGATAATTTGCTCTGAAAAAGTAATTTTCCACTGATCAGACAAACATCACAGCTGTCCCCCTGAAACCAAAAATGGTTTGCTAGATAAAGTTCAGCTGTTTTAGCGCCTCCCCTGAGGATTCCTCCCAAAATTCTTTCTGGTGAGTCTGATGGTTCTCTGCAATTCATTTGGACTAAGTGGTTCTCTGCTCTTTCTTGCAAAATTTCCACTGAGCTTCTACTTACCGAGTCATGGGAGGATTGAGAAGAATTGCCCGGATCAAGTAAGTTACATGGAAAGCAAAACAAGAAAGAGGCATTAGGAAGAGTATGTCACATTTTGGAAGAAAGCCAATGCCACAAAGGAATGGGGCAGAAGAACTTATCAATGTTTTGTTCTATAAAAGCCAAGATATCACTAAGATCAACTTTTATATTACAGTGATTATTGTTGTTCCTAAGAATACGCAGATAAATATCCAGAGACCTCTAACTGGGATGTAGACCATCACTTGCACAAACACACACGCCACATCCCCAATCCTCCATGTTTTCTGGGCAAATGGGAAAAGCCAAAACTTGCTCACAGGAGCCGTATTTATACATATCCTATGGCGAGTATCTCCAACATGGCAGTTTCATGACTCAAGTGAAGTTGGAAAAAGTCTGGACAAATAAAGCAAAAAGCTTTTTTACTTCCCTAAAGATTTCCCTAATTTCTTACATTAAATTATATACAGGTAGTCCCCAAGATATGAACAAGATAAACTGTATTTTATGTTGTAAGCCGCTTTGGGTCCCATGTGGGAGAAAAGCGGGATATAAATAAAGATTGATGATAAGACAGGTTCTGTAGGTTTGTTCTACCTCCAACCTTACACTTTAAAATGTACCTGTTCTGACTTGCAAATTCAACTAGGCTGGAGATACACACTATACACACACACACACCAGCTTTATATCTATATAAATAAATATGTAATGTATGTTTGTGGGATTAACATAACTCAAAAACCACTGGACAAATTGACACCAAATTTGAACACGAGACACCTAACAACTCAATGTATGTCCTTCACTCAAAAAAAAAAAATGATTTTGTCATTTGGGAGTTGTACTTGCTGGGATTTATAGTTCACTTACAATCAAAGAGTATTCTGAACCCCACCAACGATGAAATTGAACCAAACTTGGCGCACAGTTCTCCCATGACAAACAGAAAATACTGGAAGGGTTTGGTGGCAGTGTCCTTTGGTTTTGGAGTTGTAGTTCACCTACATCCAGAGATCACTGTGGACTCAAACAATTATGGATCTGGACCAAACTTGGCACGTATACTCAACATGCCCAAATGTAAACACTGGTAGATTTTGGGAAAAGTAGACCTTGACATTTGGGAGTTGTAGTTGCTGGGATTTATAGTTCACCTACAATCACAGAGCATTCTGAACCCCACCGATGATAGAATTGGGCCAAACCTCCCACACAGAACCCCCATGTGGGCCACAGCAACGTGTGGCAGGGGACGGCTAATACACACACACACACATACATAGGGGTGTGTGTGTATATCTATATCTATACACACACACACACATGCTTTGGAAAGCATAAGGAAAGGTTCATATGCCTGCGGTGTTTGATTTGCTGTCTGTGTTTAGAAAATTTCACATCACTTTCTGTCCCTGTGAGAATTGGAATCTGAAAAATTTGGCTTGTAGTGGAAACAAGGATCCGTGATAAAGCTTCAGTGGAGACACCTTTTCTCCATGATAACTCTTCCAAGAGTGAATTTCCCTTCCAAAAGGTAGAGTTCTCTTACTTCCTGTTGTCTCATCCCCCTTCTTAACTATGAGTCCTTTGTAAGTCGGATGTTTGTAACTCGTGGATGCTTGTACAGTTATCAAGGTGATCGCTGAATAAGGGTGATACCAGAACAGCTGTAAGGGGAAACACCCTCCCAATGCTTTGCAGAAACAGCTGTGGACACATAGTATAACATTTCAATGAAGTTCTCTCATCAATAAGATCTTTTAGGGACTGGTTGACAATTAGGGAGTTTCTCCTTCAAATTCATTATTGCCCTTCTGACAAACATATTTGGGATTACTCTGCTGGGATTATTTCATTCATCATCACTGCAGTGTTTCTGCCATGCGCTATCTACCTTTATCCTTTAGGGAACAGGCAGGAATATACTGAATGCATGACTATTTAGATGCCTTCAAGGCTCATGGCATTCAAAAAAGTTCTTGTTCAAAGGCTTCACAGATATTCTCACATACTCCTCGCTCCCAAACAATCTCCCACACCCTTTTCTGATTGTCCAAGAATGAAAGCACACATATACAGATAGTCTCTTTCTTTCTCTCAAAGTAGAGTGAGAAGACTGCAAAAGATGGTATATATCCTCTGAATTCATTTTTGTCATTTTGGAGAAGTGCATAGGACAAGAGAAGTTGCACTAACAAAGCCTGTGATGCCAACCCGTTATATTCAGTCAAGTGCAACTTCTAGGCAATGGCTAGAGCTGTGGATGGGCTCCAAACAGATAGTTTTGCAGGGGCTACTCCCTCTGTCAGAAAAGACCAGGAAGCAGGTTCTGAATCCCAATTCCTTGCTGCATAGAGTCAGCTTCCAATCAAAATAACAAAGGCTTGCAATCCTTGTATAAACAGATGTGGGGGAGCAGAGAATGGAAGCTGTAAAGATACTGAACAAAATTCCCACCATTGTAATAACATTAGCAAACAATTTAATTTGCATGCCTGTGAAAGGTGTTGTTCATACCAAAAGTTCCATTGGATGCTCCTCCTAGCCGTGTGTTTTAACTGACCATCCCCATTAAGGCTGCTTCACAACTCCATAAAATAAGCTAGATTAGTGGAGCTATGGTTAACGTGCTCCATGTATGTGTGGTCCTAGGTATTAGTGGAACTGCTCACTCTCCATTCTGTGGTTCCCTGGAACATTTAACAGACAGAGCAAAATGCCCCATCTGCAAACTGGTGTGGTGGTGTTTTCCTTCCCCACTGGAATGGTCCCAGGAAAATAGGAGGTCAGGGACTTATCAGAATGGTTTTTTCAAAAAAAGCTGAACTATGTATTGTCGAAGGCTTTCATGGCTGGAATCACTGGGTTGTAGTTTTTTTCGGCCTATATGGCCATGTTCTAGAGGCATTCTCTCCTGACGTCTCACCTGCATCTATGGCAAGCATCCTCAGAGGTAGTGAGGTAGTGAGGATGCTTGCCATAGATGCAGGTGAAACGTCAGGAGAGAATGCCTGTAGAACATGGCCATATAGCACAAAAAAACCTACAACAACCCAAGAGCTGAACTTCCACAGGATGCACAAATGTGGCAGCGGCAGCAACAGCAGAATGTGTGAAGTACAGGAAGCTGCATGCAGGACACACTCCAATAACAAAGAGGCATTCCTGGCCAATGCCACTAAGCATGGTAAAAAATGGTGTGAAAATAGACAGTTTCTTGCAATGTGACCACATGGTGTTGAAGAAATTGCCCAGTGCCAGCATATACCGAATATACTAAATGAAGCAATAACAGAAAAGCTAGAGGATCTCTGCAGGGTGCACAAGTCCATTCTCCAAGAATCTTTGGGGTTTTCCTGTCACAGCGATGCTCCTTCCCGAGATAGCAGTCCCTTGCCGTGGTCTTTTGCCAAATCAGGAAGTGATTAAAGTACAAGAAAGATCACAGGCAAGGGACTGCTATCTGGGGAAGGGACATCATTGTGTGACAGGAAAAAAAACACCAGGTTTCTGGAAAATGGGACTTGTGTACTGTGCAGAGATCCTCCTAGCTTTCCCTTTGCATATTAACATTTTTCCCAGTTGCAAGGGATGGCTATCACATGCCCAGGCCTTGTGTGAGTACACAAATAAAACACCTAAATGATCAATGCAATTATATAAAGGTATGTAGATATTTTTCCCATGTAATTTCAATGATGTTGCTTGTTGTTTATGTTTTGGTTTTATTTTGATGTAATATGTTGCTTGGGCTTGGCCCCATGTAAGCCGCTCCGAGTCCCCATCAGGGAGATGGTGGCAGGGTATAAATAAAGATTATTATTATTAAATTATTATTATTATTATTATTATTATTATTATTATTATTATTATTATTATGTAGCAGAAAAATCATAGAATCATACAGTTGGAAGAGAGCACAAGGGCCATACAGTCCAACCCCTTGCCATGCAGCAAAACACTATCAAAACACCACTGACAGATGGTCATCCAGGCTCTGATTAAAACCTTCAGAGAAAGAGACCCCATCACATTCCAAGGTAGCATATTAAGAAAGAAAATGGTGCAAATGTAGGACTGATATCCTTAAAAAGATCTTGATAGTTGTGTGTATCAAAACTATGCTGATCTGTGTCATTTTAAGGCAAACACACAGACTTCCTTGCGCAGGAAAAACCTAGGACTCCATTCTTTGTTCTTGGTAACTGTGCTAAAAGGCCAGCAAGAGAAAATAAGCAAACACAAGAAGGGCAGAAACGACTTTAAGTATGACATCATGCACAATCACACAAACACGGTTATAGAAAAAGCAAGATGTGTTGTAGCCTACCTCCCAGCCAGAGGCCTGATTGACAGAACAAAGAGGTGAAGCAGAGGGACAGAGAAAAGGGGAAGAAGAAGAAGGTTAATTTATATGAAATTTTGAATGCTCTAGCCAAAGGTGATCACTGCTTAAGACCAACCTGTGTAGCCACTGCTTGAGCTGAACATAACAACGCATTTTCTTTAAGAGTAAGGGAAAAGTGTGGGGCGACTCTCTGCATCTCCTCCTGCAAGCATTTTTCTTGAGATCTTATATTAAGCCCAGTCCCCTTTGTGATCAATGTAACCACAAAGGAAGGCTTTTAAAGATGTCAGGCGATCATATACCAGATCGGTCTGAACACAGCACACAGACAACCAATGTCAGATTCTGAGGTACCCTACGACCTTGGATGGTGTGGGGACAAGTTGGTTAAATTGAGCATGGCTACTATCAGATGCTAACAGTCCTTTTCCTGAGCTGGTTGATTCTGTCTTCATTTGCCGAGTAATAAAACTAATCTGACATAAAATAGTGGCATTCCCTGTTTAGTTCAAACTATGTTAGAAGAGATTCATGTGTTTTGACTTTGAAGATAAGGTTAAACCATAAGGCCTTATTTCTACCAAAGAGCTGTAAGTATAAATCCTAGAATATTCATAAGCCACCGAATATTCTGAAAGCTGTGATCAAAAGAAGTATGGGTTTCTTAAACCTGGGACTGTCCCATAAACCTGAAAGTATGGCAGATATGGGTATTCTGGTCTCCTAAGTGCTCCTTACATCTCTGCTGCCTTTCCTGCCCTCCTAAGATTGGAAGGGGTTTTGAGAGAGGCCGGCGTAATGGTCTCCATCTTGACAAACAGGGTTCATGTTACTTCTCCTTGTACTGTCACAGGGCCAGAATGTCTTTGATGAAATTCTAGTTCAACTTTCCGTCTTGTAGCAGGACTCTTCACATACCTGAACAAACCATCCTCAATCACATTTAAACATGCTAGAGATTGGGGAAGGAAAAGGACAAAGCATGCAGGAAGCAGATGCCCAGTTCAGACAATTTTCCCAAAAGAAGATTTCTTTTTAACTTTGACACTCAAAGTGGCATTATCCAGCTTTTTTGGTTCCAGTTCCTACAGGTTCTGACCTCAAGATTAAATTAACATTTATTTCTTCTGACATGGGTAGTGAAATGGGCGTACGAGCACGGCTGGGCAAGTACCCAGAAAAAAAGAAGTTCATATGGGCTTCCTGCCTCTCTTCCCCCAAAATAAGCACTGTCAGAAGAGAATGTTCTCACTCACTTGGTTGGTGATTTTGCTGAAGGCGTCCTGCAATTTGCCATGCAGCACTGCCAGCTTCTTGAAGTCACGATTGGCTTCATGGATGGGGATAAGGATCTTGTAGACCTCATTGACAGCTTCATAAAGTCCTCCCTGAGGGAAATGAAGAACATGAATCAGGCATCCCCTTGAGGCACTGGAGCAGACATGGGCTCTTGAAGAGCAAGCAGCAAGACAGCAGAAGCAGCAGATGGGAAAAACAAGAAACAATGGAGGAGTTCCGCTTGGGGCCTGGAAGCATCTAGCAATTTTAGTGGGTATCAAACAGGGAAATAGAGGGTGGGAAAGTAACTTTTTCATATAGAAATCCCACAAAATGTGTGAAAACATCCCACTCCAACAAGTAACACACTACTTGCAGTATTTCTTATTTCCTCTGTTGTTCCTTGTAATATAGCAACAGAAGGTAATATTGTATTGTCGAAGGCTTTCATGGCTGGAATCACTGGGTTGTTGTAGGTTTTTTCGAGCTATTTGGCCATGTTCTAGAGCAGGGATCCTCAAACTTTTTAAACAGAGGGCCAGGTCACAGTCCCTCAAACTGTTGGAGGGCTGGATTATAATTTGAAAAAAAGAAAACATGAATGAATTCCTATGCACACTGCATATATCTTTTTGTAGTGCAAAAAACACTTAAAAACAATACATTAATTAAAATGAAGAACAATTTCAACAAATATAAAATTATTAGTATTTCAATGGGAAACGTAGGCCTACTTTTGGCTGATGAGATAGGATTGTTGTTGTTGTGTGCTTTCAAGTCGTTTCAGACTTAGGTTGACCGTGAGCGAGGGCCGAGTAAATGACCTTGGAGGGCCGTATCCGGCCCCCGGGCCATAGTTTGAGGACCCCTGTTCTAGAGGCATGCTTGCCATAGATGCAGGCGAAATGTCAGGAGAAAATGCCTCTAGAACATGGCCATATAGCCCGAAAAAACCTATAAAAACCCATGAGGTAATATTACTTTGCTTCTAACTGCCATTTTTGAGGGAGGCCACAAAGGAAAACTGAAGTGTTTTGATGGGGTAGAGTCCACAAAAGGGGCAGGGGAGATTATTGGCCCGTCTTCCCACAGTTGCCCTCACCAAAAAAGGAAGTAGAAAGCTTCAACCTGTGGTTAAGATGCCATGTTCCTATGACACCTGAAGCTTTCATGGAGCCATATCTGATGTGCTCAAGACACTACAATACCTCCATGCCCTAAGCCCAGCAGGCAAGGTCAAGCCACTGAAACCATCAAGAGGCCCTGTGCTAGAGGTAGCCCTGATAACACAAACCGGCTTGGACTGGAATGCCTGGAGGATGAATGGAGGAACTTTCCGGATCTGAGGGAGTGGGGTTTTGGGACTGAAACCAAGAAGTTTCCCACGTTTTCTTTTATTTGTAACTTTGCTGTATAGTAGTAGTAGTAGTAGTAGTAGTATAGTAGTAGGGCCACATGTTCAGTCCTGCTCACCATAGTAAACGAGGAAGCTGCTTGTTCAAGTAACCCTACAAGGCCTTGCTCAGTGAAGTACTTTCCGGAACAGATGCCCTCTTCATCAGGAGAGAGGATGTCATCTGAGACAGCAGACTCTTCCAGCACATTGGAAGAGATATTCTTGGAAAAAGAAGAGAAGTTACTGTAAGAAGACCAACAGTCCTCCAAATATTTTTACCATGTCAGGAGTGACTTGAGAAACTGCAAGTCGTTTCTGGTGTGAGAGAATTGGCTGACTGCAAGGACATTGCCCAGGGGATACCCAGATGTCTGATGCTTTACCATCCTTGTGGGAGGTTTCTCTCATGTCCCCTTATGGGGAGCTGGAGCTGACAGAGGGAGCTCAATCCACTCTCCCTGGATTTGAATTGGTGACCTGCCAGCACAAGGGTTTAACCCAAAGTTTCTCAACCTGGAGGTCAGCACCCCTGAGGGGGTCGCGAGGGGGTGTCAGAGGGGTCATTGAAGACCATCAAAAACACAGCATTTTCTGTTAGTCATGGGAGTTCTGTGTGGGAAGTTTGGCCCAATTCTATCTTTGGTGGGGTTCAGGACGCTCTTCGATTGTAGGTGGACTATAAATCTCAGCAACTACAACTCCCAAATGTCAAAGTCCATTTTCCCGACTCCACCAGTGTTCACATTTGGGCATGTTGAGTATCTGTGCCAAGTTTGGTCCAGATCCATCATTGTTTGAGTCCACAGTGCTCTCTGGATATAGGTGAACTACAACTCCAAAACTCAAGGTCAACGGCCACCAAATCCTTCCAGTATTTTCTGTCGGTCATGGGAGTTCTGTGTGCCACGTTTGGTTCAATTCCACCGTTGATGGAGTTCAGAATGCTCTTTGGTTGTAAGTTAACTATAAATCCCAGCAACTACAACTCCCAAGTGACAAAATCATCTCCCCCACCCCACCAGCATTCAAATGTGGGTGTATCAGATTTTTTTGCCAAATTTGGTTCAGTGAATGAAAATACATCCCGTTTATCAGTCATTTACATTACGATTCATAACAGGAGCAAAATAACACTTATGAAGTAGCAACAAAAATAATTTTATGGTTGGGGGTCACCACAACATGAGTAACTGTATTAAGGGGTCGCGGAATTAGGAAGGATGATAAACACTGGTTTAACCCATTGTGCCAGGGCTCCTCCAGTTGGACAAGGCATAAATGTAGATCATCAAATGAGAGGGTGGAGAAAGGGTGGCCTGCATGTTGTTTGCAACTTTCAAGAATGTTTCTCTGGATCCCTCTAATGCCCTGTCTACTCCCCAATTTTTGGTGGAGAAATTTTATTGTGTCCATCCTGATAGTTTAGAGTTAGGGAGTCCTTTTTTCAACACCAGAAGTGACTTCCAGTTCACTTCCTGATTCAGCAAAAGGCATCTGCTTAATTTGGTTTTTAATGTAACATTTTTTTCAACAAAAAGCAGACTAGCAAACAACCAAATACATAAAACATTAGGCAAAATACATAGAATTACAGATAACTATCCCTGCACCCACAAAAACAAAACCATACAGATATTTTTTCTTAATATAAAAAGCAACCCCAACTAATACAACGTAGACGACAACAATCACCCTCCCTACAACCTTCTGCTAGAGTGCACCTTGTTTAGAGGGAAAAGATAAACCACAAGCTAGAACTTGTGTTCATTCAGTTCTGCCATAGAGACAGCAAAACTGAGGTGGGCACATCAAGCTCTGAGGCAAGAAAGGAGGGATCATGACTTGACACAGAAAAGCAGCTCTTGCCCAAGGGTTTTCTACCGCTACCCCATCCTCTTCTTACCTGGAAAGTGACACAGCCCACAGGTAGGTAGCGACAGTCTTCTAGCATGCTCAGGTATTCGGCTACCAATGCAGCAGAATGCACCAGACACTGAGCTGCCTCCGCGTGGTTCCCTCTTTCCGAGTGCTTTGCTGCCATGTTCTGCAACCAGGTCAACCTCAGGTCTGGTGATGTCTGGTACCCTTTGGCTATCCTGAGAAGTAGGTGACAATTATGGACAGGAGCTTTGTATTTTATGGGGCTTTCCCACTGACTCTGCTTAGGATGGCCTGCTTCATTTCTGCTCTGGCCCTTCCAGACAGGAGAAGCTTTATTTTTGGAACTCTCTTAAACTTGTTTCACAAGCAAAGTGCTTCCCAATAAAGTAGCTGAAGTTCCCCTACTCTGTTTCCTTTTAATGGAGACACTTATTCCTTTTGAAAGTAATGACATAGTGCTTTCTACAGTTGAATTATGTGTCTATCCTCCAACAGAGGAAAATCAGGAACACATTCCCCATTCCCATACCACTGTTCCAATTCAACAACTTTGTACTTTAATTAATTAATCTATATATATATATAAATGCTCTGTGCATAATGAGTACCTTAAAAACAAAACAAAAAACTACAGGGCCAAATGACCCCAAATTTGCCAACAAAACTCCTCACAATCCAAGGAGTGACAATCACTGAAAAAAACCCCACAAAAACACATTTAAATTCAAAAAAGGAAGAAGACAACACACCTCCCCTATCCCCCCTCATGCTGAGGACACAGTGGCGGCGGCAATAGTTGCTGCTCCCTGCATGTCTCTCAGCCCCTAACTAACATTAAGGCAAGGGATCAAAGGGCAGAGACTGAGGAGGGGGAGAAGAGAGGGGGGGGGGAGGAAAAAAGAGGGAGGCTGGCCACACTCTGTGCACACACTCTGACTCTCTGCCCCCCCCCCCCACACATGCTTCCACAGCACAAAGGAAGGAGGAAGGTGCCATGATGGGGGTAATAGGGACACATGTAACTGACATTCGTGACTTAGGGCCTTTTACTCTAGCACTTAAGACCTGGCTTTTTACTAGAGCATTCGATCTCTGTTAATTTTTAATTTTTGTATGTATGTATTTTATCTTTTACAATTTAGCTGTAAATCGCCTAGAGCATTCTCGGATGGAGGGCAATTAATAAGTTATTAAATATGATGATGATTATGATGATGACATTGCTTGGAAAGGAGCCCCAAAAACCATCCAGCCCAACCTCATTTGGCAGTAAAGGAAGACACCATCAAAGCCCTAACAACAGATGGCCAACCAGTTGGAAGGGAGCCCTAAAGGCCATCTGGTCCAACCCCCTCCTTCCCTCTCTCCCTTTCTCTACTTCCCTTTCTTCTCCTTCCCTCTATTCCCTTCCCTTCCTTTTTCTCTTCCCCTCACCAGCTTCATCCTCCTTTATTAAATCTACAGTGTAGATGCACCCAAAGTCAAACCTTCCACACTGCCATGTAAAATCCAGATTATCTACTTAGGACTGGATTATTTGGCAGTGTAGACGAATGCGCATGCGCGCGCGCGCACACACACTCATGTAAGGATGTTGGATCACTGGTTGGTGATATATATATATATAATTATAATACTTTATATATTACTATTATATATTGCTATATAATATATATAATATATATTATTATATATGCTACTATATAATATAATGTTACTACTATATATTACTATATTAAATAGACTCATAGAATAGACTCAGAAGGGACTCTATCATGGTATTGGGGGAGAACAGACAGGAAGGAAGGAGAGAAGAAAGGAGGGAGGGAAAAAGAGAAGGAATGAAGGAGGGAAAGGGGGAAGGAAGGAAAGAGAGAAGGAGGGAGGGAAAGAAGGAAAGAGGGAAGGAAGGAGAGAAGGAAGGAAAGAGGTACCGAAAGAAGGAAGAAGATAAAGTACAAAGGAAGGAAAAAGGGAAGGAAGGCAGGAAAGAAGTAAAGAATGAAGGAAGGAGAAAAGGAAATAAAAGGAAGGAAGGAAAGAGGGAAGGAAGGAGACAAAAGAAGAAGTAGAGAAAGGGGGAGGGAAGGAAGGAAAGAGAGAAGGAAGGATGAAACCAAAGAGCAAAAGAAGGAATGAAAGAAAGAGGTAGAGAAGGAAGAAAGGAGAGAAAGGGGAAGGGGAAGAAAAAGGGGGAAGGAATAGGTAGGTACCTCTCTTTCATAATAGTTCAGATATCTACCTCTACTTTGAAAATTCTTACTATAGGCCACAGCAACACGTGGCAGGGTACAGCTAGTATTCCCTAGTGTTGCCATGCTTCCCTCCCCTACACACCTGTCTGGCCCCAGTGATGTAAAAGTACATACAGGTTATCTCTCAATGTAAGGCTGCTATCCTTCCAACTCCCAGGTCAAGGCATATATCTATTTTCAATACATGAACAAGTGAAAATGGTAAGAAAAAAAAAACTTATTTTACTCACTCTCAAAAATCTCAACACCCCTTTTGAGAAAGCAAGTCTGCTCCAGAAACCAGTATGTTTGTTGCTGATATGAGATTTGTTGTTGTTATTATTATTATTATTATTATTATTATTATTATTATTATTAACATTATTTATACCCTACCTTTCTCCCCATGGGGACTCAAGGCAGCTAACAATCCCACACTAGACAAGTTTCAAAGGTGGCATAGAAAAGCTAAAAAAAATTTAAATAGTAACAGTGTGGTAAAAACAGAATTAAAATACAATAAATACACTTAAATGGCCTTTAAAACTCATAGCCTCACTCCTAATCTCCTTGAAGCTTGCCCCTCTGTTGCCTCAAGTTTAAATCTTAACTCATCCTCCTGGTGAGTAATTAATTATCCTAGAAGGAAGTGAGGCCTCCACTTTTCTCTTCTGCTTTTCTACCTGTGTCACTGGCTACTGTCTCACCTGTACATCAGGTCTATTAACATTTCAGGATCCTCCTGGTGTTCCTTCATCTTTACTGTATCTGTCAAGATCATGTGCAAGTTGAAAACGAGGTCTTGAACCTACAGAGAGAGAAGGAATCAATTTCTATTGACAACCACAAGGCACAAAAACATGGTCACTTCTACCGAATAAGATAAGTGGTATGAATTTGAGGAGGGATGTTCAGGACATTGAGTGCCCCTTGTGTGCATACATGTGAACAGGATCAAGGTGAACTCATCTTCTGTTCTGACTCTATGAGCAGGTTTGAGTTCACCTTAACCACCCAAGTCTCATTTCATGGCTTCAAAGCCCAATAATTTACATTTGAAGGTGGGGAAGACACCAATGGATTTATCGGAAAATAAGCTGAAGTCTAATTATTTTTGTATGTCCACCATGTATGGAAAAGTCAGGCTTAAGAATCTAAGAATGCCATCAAATAATTAGGATTTTTTTCCAATTTAGATATCCAGTAAATGTTAATATTATATTCACATTGAATAGTTGCTCAAATAGGAAAAAGATTCATTTTTCAGATTTTCCCAAATCAGATTTACAATTCATAGCTCCATTAGAAGATACTGTATTTCTTTTGCCATTTTTCATATTTGACAAAATAATTTTATTACCTAAGCAACTCAGGTGATTCAAAGTAAATATAGTCACTTCCCAAGGACATCAGACATGCCCCAACTCTGGCAGTCTTTAGGAGGAGCCTGAAAATGGTTGTTCCAGTGTGCCTTCCCAGAATAAGGAAAACTCTCAGCAATATGCCCTCAAAATGCACTTTACCACTGATTTAGGACTGACTGCGTTCCCTCATCTCTCTTTGAAAAACCTTATCCCAGTTATATCCTACCTTGTTCATGCCCAGCATTATTTTTTAAATTTTAAATTATTATATTTGCCCCAGCCATAGATTTTTAAATGCTTGTGTGTGTTACTGTTATTGTTTATTTTTTGTTTATGTGATTTATATTAATTGTTTTGTATTGATTTTCTTTTGTTATTGCTTTTGTTTACGGATGTACTGTGGGCTCGGCCTCATGTAAGCCGCACCGAGTCCCTTGGGGAGATGGTAGCGGGGTATAAATAAATAATAATAATAATAATAATAATTATTATTATTAGTCCAGTATATTCAAATCTCATTTCTCAGTTTTTGTAGGCCTGTATAGGAAAATAATGATCAAAAGATTCTTTAAAATTCCAACATGTAATTTGATGGCAAAACTAGGCACTTCCTTTCAGTTCCTTGCAAAATTGAAAACCTATCCAGCTACCCATATTCATCATGAAATACAGAGACTGCAGAGGACCTGAAACCTATTTGTTCTACTTTAGTTGATTTAATAATTAAGAGACACTTACTGAATAATTTATTGTTAGAGCTTTTCAAAAAACCAGAGGAAATCAACAAACATGTTCTATGTAGTGAAATATTAAAAGTTTCCTTAATCACAGTTATAAGTTGGATAATGTATTTGCATAATTTTTTTTTGTCGTGTCAGGAGCGACTTGAGAAACTGCAAGTCGCTTCTGGTGTGAGAGAATTGGCCGTCTGCAAGGACGTTGCCCAGAGGACGCCTGGATGATTTTGATGTTTTTATCATCCTTGTGGGAGGCTTCTCTCATGTCCCCGCATGAGGAGCTGGAGCTGATAGAGGGAGCTCATCCGCCTCTCCCAGATTCGAACCTGCGACCTGTCGGTCTTCAGTTCTCCGGCACAGGGGTTTAACCCACTGCGCCACCGGGGGCTCATCTTACACATAATAAATATCCCAAAGGCACCAGATCCAATTTGATCTTGGAGACTAAACAGTGTCAGTCCTGGTTAATATTTGGGTGGATGACCACCTAGGAATACCAAGTGCTGTAGGAGACATTTTGAAGGAAGGAACAGGCCAAATCACCTCTGAGTATTCCTTGCCTAAGAAAACTCTATTAAATTAATGAGGTCACCATAAATTGACAAGTGACTTGAAAGCACAAGCACACACACAATGTTTGGGAAGTTACTTCTTACCCTCCTTCTGAAGGACTTGGCTCATGTTAATAAACAATATTCACTGTTTTGCAGAACAACTGTACAGGAATTTGTTTCCCTACACATCAACTTGGAGGGAAGTTTCAGATTCCCTTGATATACAGGTACCTTCCAACACTCATATCTCTAGTTATCAATAGGTTGTAGTTATCGATAGGCTGAGCATGAAGGAAACATGACTAGCACATCCATGAAGAAGATGCATCCAAGCTCACAAGTGCTGAGATTTTTTTTTCATTCTTTACCTTTACAATAACCACACAGGCACTAGTGATTCCTTTCACATAAATGTATCTATTTTGTATGCATTGCAATGAAGCAACACATCACAAAGAAATGACAAATATTATTCAAGACAAGCTGCTAATATTGTTCTCTAGATTAAAGCTCTTAAAGAAGAAGGCAACAGATCTGGAAAACCCAAACCAAAAGTGCTTGAGTGTTTGTGAGTGCAGTTTTTTTCTCTGGGTCTGCTAGAATTGGCACCTGCTCAGCAAAGGTGGTCTCTCGCAGCTCTGGGTCTTCCTCTGCATAAGTCAGGATGGTCTTTAGCGAGCGCCTCAGGTGCTCCTCATTGAAGTTCTGTGATGTTCCCACAAGGGAAGACAAGGACATGGTCACCTGCATCTTCACCCGGGCAAAGTTCTGTACAACAAAAACACAACAGAAAATATTTTCACTACTGTGAAATGACCCCTACGGGCACATAAAGTATATTATTTTTCATAAAGCATCACTGATATAAATAGTAACTTTTTCAAACAGCAATTGATATATTTTTCTGATTTTATATAGTAATAATAAAATAACAATAATAATAAAATAACAAAGCTAATGGACTAATCCATTAAGGACAATTCCTCAAAACTCAGGTGTAACTGACAGTGTTAACTGTAAGGAAAATAATTATAATTATAATTAGCATTACATACAGTATAACTTCCATATACAAAGGACCAGTATCTGTGGTTTCAGTTATCCATGCCCAACAAAATATGTTCTCTATAGGCATTTTCTAAATTCTTCAGCATGACTCAATGGATTATTGGACCAGAATTCCTTCGTTTCAGTAGGGTTCATGATTATTCATGGTTTCATGTATACATGCAAAGTCCAGGAATACATCCCCACAGATACAGGGGTTATACTGTGTTGTAATGCAAATAAATAGTAATTCCAAGAGGTAGATTTCAATATAGTTAAGGGAGAAAAACACAGGCAGGGAAAGACAAATATTACAATGGCAATATTCCAAGGTTCACTGGAGATTCAATTAACCCCTAGAACTGGGGAGGATTTGGCCCTACCTCAGAAAGCATCCTCCTAGCAGAAATGACTGCAAACTCCACTTACTCCCCCCAGTCCTTACATTGCCAATCTCGAAGTTCTGTCGCATGAGAAGGTAGAGGGAAGTGCTTGCATGAGTCCGGATGGTGGCCACTCTGCTACTGCAATGGCGCAGGAGACGCAGACAAAGATCAGCACACAATTCCGTGTCTTCCTCAAAAAGCATTTCAGGGAACTGTAAGCATGATGTTGAATGTAATTTGATTTAACAATGACAACAATTGCTTTTCCACTGCGCACAGACAAGGCATCGTATAACAAAGGCATAAAAACACAATCGTTTGATTACTTGGGGGGGGGGCACACAAGGTTTAATATTAAAACTCTTCGATTTTGACATGACTTTGGGAAACACACAAAGCAAAGACTGTTCTTGACTGACAGAAAAATGATTAAAGTATACTTTGGGATTAAGTGACAATATGGGGGAAGTTTTACAACATCCTGAAGAGAAAGGCACCTCCAGATTATTTCTTTCTTTCTCGCATTTCTATCCCGTATTTCTCAACCCCCGAAGGGGGACTCAGGACGGCTTACAATGGGTCCCATTCCAAAGCCATTACACAACAAATTACAAAATTAAAACCACAATTATTTATTATTTATTTATTTACTTTATTTATATATCGCTTTTCTCAGCCCTCAGGCGACTCAAAGCGGTGAACAACATCGATACAAAACATCACAAGACAAGTATAGGGCAATTAAAAACAATTGTAACATAAATCATTAAACATCAGAATAACAATTAGACATAAAAGCATAATTAACAATACATAAGCCATTGTTAAAACAGTAAAACAGTCTCATCAGCCATATCGTCATTCCAGTCACATTCCCTTAAAGTGCTGTTTGCATCTATTGTCCAAAAGCCTGGTCCAAAACCAAGCCTTTAGTTTCTTTCGAAAAACTAGGAGGGAGTTGGCCGATTTTACCTCAGTGTGAGTGAGTTCCATAGGTGGGGGGGGCAACCGCCGAGAAGGCCCTGTCTCTCATCCCCACCAGGCGCATTTGTGTTGTTGACGGGAGCGAGAGCAGGGTCTCCCCGGATGATATAGGTTTTGAGATGGGACATGGGGGTGGATGCGTTCGGATAAGTAAACTGGGCCAGAACCGTATAGAGCTTTATAGGTCAAAATCAGCACTTTGAATTAGGTGGACCGGCAGCCAGTGGAGCTGGCACAACAGGGGGGTGGTATGCTCCCTGTATGTCTCCCCAGTTAGTAGTCTGGCTGCCGACCGTTGAACTAGCTGAAGTTTCCGAACCGTCTTCAAAGGCAGCCCCATGTAGAGCGCGTTGCAGTAATCTATTTGGGATGTAACACGAGCGTGGACCACCATGGCCAAGTCAGACTTCCCAAGGTATGGGCGCAGCTGGCGCACAAGTCTTAGTTATGCAAAAGCTCCCCTGACCTCCGCCGAGACCTGGGGTTCCAGGCTCAGCGATGAGTCCAGGATCACTCCCAAGCTGCGAACCTGCGTCTTCAGGGGGATATGCAAGTCTCAATGTTAAATGTTTGAAAACCAGAGGGCTGATACAGAACAATTAAGGCACGCAATGAAACACAGTAGCTGTGCCTATGGATAAGGCCGCTAGCTGTAACTAAAGCAAGGGGAACCCAGACAGAGAGAAAGGATATCTCCATCCACCCTCCAGCAAGCTTCACAAGGTAGCTGATTCCATCACATTATTTGTTTCTGCCAAAATTTTCCACCCAAAGCACTCACCTTGCTCACAAGTGCCCTCTGGGTGGCAAAGCAGTGTTGCAGGAAGGCAGCACTAGGTGTACAGCCCATGCTGTGCAGAAGCACCCTCAGCACCCCACCCAGGACACTCTCCTTAGCTTCTGATAAGATCACTGTCTGAAGGGAATAAGCAAAGGGAAGGCAGAAAGAGAAAGAGAGAGAGAGAAAGGGAGAGAGAGAAAGCCAGAATAAAATTAGGAATTTCTACAAGAGGTGGAAGGCAGTCACACTGAAGCCCAGTTTGCAATGTGTTTGAACTGGGACAATAGCTTTTCCTTGATCAGATTCCCAGCGAGATGCCTGACTTTAGTAACCAAGATACTGATCCAACTCTGGCATGCTCCAGGAAATTCTACTTTAGGAATACACAGAATTGTCAGCATGGAAGCCCTATTGTATCGAAGTAGACAAAATTAGTGCCAAGAAAATGAAAATCCTGACCCAAATAAAGTCAAATTCTGCAGGACTGAACTTCCCATGACCTTGCCTCCCTCTTTCAAGCTCAAATATTTCTCCCTATGATCTTTGCTCAAACACAGGCAGGAACAAAAAAAATAGACAGCTGTGAAAGTAGATACAATTACCAAAACATCTAAAGCAAACTCTTTATCAAAGGAAATGTAATGCTGTTTAAATAAAAACTGACTAGGACAGCTTTTCTCATCCAGATCACTGAATCAGAATGCTTCAGAGGGGAAAGGCTGGTATCAAACTGTGTTTATTAACACGTGTTCCATTGCTTTCATAGAGAATGACTCGGCAATACAATGGGAGCCTCATTCAGCCCCTTGGGATCCTCTAGGCACTGGTGCAGAGCCCCCCCCCCCCAATTCCTTTAAGGCTCTAGGACAGGGGTGTCAAACTAATTCTCATCAAGGGAGCCCCCAGCGCAGTGGGTTAAACCCCTGTGCCGGCAGGACTGAAGACCAACAGGTTGCAGGTTCGAATCCGGAGAGAGGCGGATGAGCTCCCTCTATCAGCTCCAGCTCCTCATGCGGGGACATGAGAGAAGCCTCCCACAAGGATGATAAAACATCAAATCATCCAGGCGTCCCCTGGGCAACGTCCTTGCAGACGGCCAATTCTCTCCCACCAGAAGCGACTTGCAGTTTATCAAGTCGCTCCTGACACAACAAAATAAATAAATAAATAAATCAAGGGCTATGTCAGCCTTATGGTTGCCTTCAAAGGGCTATTGCAGGGGTCCTCAAACTAAGGGCTGGATATGACCCTCCAAGGTCATTTACTCGGCCCTCGCTCAGGATCAACCTAAGTCTGAAACGACTTGAAAGCACACAACAACAAAAATAATCCTACCTCATCAGCCAAAAGCAGGCCCACATTGCCCACTGAAATACTAATAAGTTTATATTTGTTAAAATTGTTCTCCATTTTAATTATTATATTGTTTTAAGTGTTTGGTTTTTTGGCACTACAAATAAGATATGAGCAGTGTGCATAAGAATTCATTCATATTTTTTTCATATAATAATCCGGCCCTCCAACAGTTTGAGCGACTCTGACCTTGCCCTCTGTTTAAAAAGTTTGAGGACCCCTGGGCTATTGAATCCATGGACAGAGAATCAGTAGATACAGAGGGCCAACTATAATTGTTATACAGAGTGGTTGGCACTCGCATTTTTACCCAATTTGAGTCGCCAGATGTTACTGAATGACAACTCCTATCATTTTTTATTGTCTGCCATGCAGACTGAGGATAATGGGAATTGCAACCCAACAGCACTTATGGCTCTGAAGTTAGGGAAAGGTTAAAAGTCATAATATCTACAAGCATTGTATCTAAATTCAAAGCCCACTATCCTGACTAAACTGAACAAACTGCATCCTTCCATACTGTATCACAACTCCCATCAGTTTTAGTCATGATGTCTAATGATGAGGAATATAACAGTTGTATTCCAGCATCTGGAGAGATACATAGAATGATGGATTTGGTCCATGGGCCTTGGGTTTGACACTGTGCCAGGCTTGTATATTTGTACATGAAATATGTAAGGCTCAGTTAAAGTTAACAATGTGGAGGCAGGTAGTCCTGGAATAATGTCTTCACTATCTAGTGATTCCTAGACCTGAGCCCCTTCCACACAGCTGTATAAAATCCACATTGAACTGGATTATCTGGCAACTCAGATAATCAAGGTTTTTTTTGGTCGTGTCAGGAGCGACTTGAGAAACTGCAAGTCGCTTCTGAGAGAATTGGCTGTCTGCAAGGACATTGCCCAGGGGACGCCTGGATGATTTGATGTTTTTATTATCCTTGTGGGAGGCTTCTCTCATGTCCCCGCATGAGGAGCTGGAGCTGATAGAGGGAGCTCATCCGCCTCTCCCCCGATTTGAACCTGCGACCTGTCGGTCTTCAGTCCTGCCGGCACAGGGGTTTAACCCACTGCGCCACCGGGGGCTCCAGTTCAAAGCAGATATAGTGGATTATCTGCTTTGATATTCTGGGTTATATGGCTGTGTGGAAGGGTCCTGGTTTTTTTTTTCTCTGAAAGGTTTTTTTTCCCCCTTCATCCTGTTCTCCTCGTTGTTTTGGCTTCTGCACGTGATCCAACTAAGTATCACTTTATGGAAACATGCACACTAATACACATAATTGTTGGTTCTGGTTTTGCCCAATTAAGGTTCTAAGAAATACAGGACAGATTCCAATAATGCAGAATGGAAACAACAAAATCTCTTCAGCCAACAAGTAAGTAACATTTTACAGAAATATAATATGTGTGGTTGTTTTTCCTTTTCCATTGCCTTAGGAGATTTTCCTCTTTTTTGTGATTCTTCCGTTCTCAGCAGAAGCCTGCCAGATGCAGGATTACACTGGAAAGTGGTGCAGACTTCTTTTTTAAATAGCGCAATCCCTGATCTGAGAACTGTAGAAGAGTTACATTATTAAGCCATAAAAATGGATCTCAGAGCCTTGCTTTGGTGGCCATTTTACATGTCTAGAGTCCTTGTCAAAACCTACCTGCACAATAATTTCCAGTGTGTCCAGTACCACCATGTTGGCCTCTGTGGCCATATTCCCTTCCACAAGAGCATCATGCTCCATTTCATCCTTGGATCTGAACAATGGGCAAAAATGGTGTACATTAAGATCACAAGACGTCATACCTGGCTGGCAAAATTACCTGCGGGTCTCTTCTCACTGAGCCATCTCATGCATCTTTCATAGTCAAAGGTCAACACTACCTTTACCAAATCTGAATGATTTTAACTTGAAGACATGTGAAGCCAAAGGCCATGGGCTTCACAGACACTTCGGCTGATTCCTGCCCACTGGTTCTTGCTAGAGCTCCCTCTCTGGCTATGTACCACCCAGAAAAATAATGCTGCCAGTGTATCTTCCTTAGTAGGAAAGGACAGAGAACCTGGAAATGGGACAGTACTAGTCTGAGTTCAGAGAGATCAAAGCTGAGTAAAAAGGCCTGATTTTCCTTTGGACTTCAAGGCTATGTGAGATGCATCTGCTTTCTTTATAAGGAATCCTTCATAATCTGCTGGCCACTTTGAATGCCATGGGTATCATGAGACTGCCTAGCCTGTGCCCACTACTGTGGCTTACCCTGCACTAAGAAGGAAAGAGATGGAACTAAGGACCAATGGAAAGAAACACATGAATCCACATGAAATATGGGGAATATTTAAATTTTCCTGATATGTTTCACATTTTTTTCAAGAGGCCCAGCATTTACAAGGCATTGCTGACACAGGTAGTACAACTCTTCCCAGTACTGAGCAGACACTCCCTACCTCCAAGGCCCCCAAATGTTCCAAGTAGCATTTTCTTTTAATTAATATTAAATTATTTCTATTAGTTACTTCCTCCATACAGAACCTAGGACAAAGTACAGAGTCAAATATCCTTTTTTAAGGTGGAGGAAAGAAGTGCACCGGGATTGTGGCTCAGCTGGCTGAGTGTCAGCTGCATTAAGATCACTCTGACCAAAAGGTTATGAGATTGAAGCCAGCCCGGGTTGGAGTGGGCTTCCAACCAATTGTGTGTAGCCTGTTGTCAACCTTTGCAACCCGAAAGACAGTTGCATCTGTCAAGCAGAAAAATTAGGTACCACCTTAAACTGTTGGGAGGCTAAATTAACTGATTTATGAGGCCATAAAGAAGACTCCAGCAAAGCATTCCAGCAGGGAAGCATCGCAGATGGACGATGAAAGCGACAGCTCCCTGGCGGCCAGAAAAAGTTAAATAGCCTCTGTGTATGTCTGTATATGTTTGTATGTCAAAAATTGGCATTGAATGTTTGCCAAATATGTGTACACTGTAATCCGCCCTGAGTCCCCTGCGGGGTGAGAAGGGCGGAATATAAATAAATGAATAATAAGTTCTTCTCTCTCCCACAGTCACACCATGTGATCGAAAAAAATGGGTGTCAGGGACAATTATCTGGAAACTGAGTGTGCACAAGGCATTCCCTTTCCCCTGATCTCCCAGAACTGCCCACACACGCACTTGTCCACCTTATCCGAATTCTGCCTCCAGTGGGCGATATTCTTCCTCCAGCGCACATTTTCTTGATTTCCATACGGGGTGCGCTCTGTAAAGAAAAGAGGCTGTCAGATTGAAAGAGCCTCTAGAGAACTAGTTGATTTCTGATCAACAAATAAGGAAAACCAAGCAGCCAGGAATGGCTCACTCCTCTTGTCCATGGGCTTTCTCACACTCCAACTATCTCACACACCAGCGATAGAGAATAAATAATAATAATAATCATCATCATCATCATCACCATACCCCGCCACCATCTCCCCGATGGGGACTCGGGGCGGCTTACAATCACAGTGACAATGATTGGGCTACATGTAATGAATAAAAAGAAAAAACTAGTTAAAAACTAATTAAAAATTCAGGTGAGGTAAAAGGAGAAGCAGGTTTTTTTGCGGAGGAGGGCTCATTATAGCGGGGGTTGTGGAATCAAGCTTTCCCACAAGGTGAGGGGGGATGTATACTCCAATGACAGAAAATTGAGGCTGAGCAATAGTGTGAGGTTGTATACCTACTCACCAAAGGCGCAGTGGAAGAGCCAGGTTTTAAGGTTCGTTTTAAAGGTTTCTAGGGTAGGGGCTTTCCTAATCTCTCCAGATAATGAGTTCCAGAGTTGGGGGGCCACAGAGGAAAAAAGCTCTCTCCCTTGTGCTTACAAGGTGAGCTTGTGAAACTGGCAGGGGCAAAAGAAGGGCCTCCCCAGAAGATTGGAGGGCCCGAGTTGATTCATGGAGGGAGATACGGTCACGAGAACAAAAATAAAACAAAGAGAAGGAAGAAATAGCTTGCTTCCTTTGCTAACAATGCCTTTCTATTACATCTTTATGTCTATATCTTAATTGAATTTATTTCCACTTCAAATTTGAAAGTGAGAAAAAAATGAGAAAAATTCTAGCACACACACATGCACAAAACATTCACTACAGGATCATTCTGCCTGGATGGCTGGCCTCGGAGGAATCAGTCTGAAATGTAAAAGTCTTCTCAGACCATTTATTTCTTCTTCATGTTGTCCCCATCTTTCATCATCTCCTCTCCTGCCCACAAGGATATCCAGGATCCCAATGCCTGTCAACCCAACATAAGACTCAGCCTAAATATAAGGGGTGTGTGTGTGTGGAGGGGCGGTTAAGCGGAAGGAATAATTTATACCCCGCCACCATCTCTCCAACGGGGACTCGGGGCGGCTTACATGAGGCCAAGCCCAGACAACATATTACAGGAAAAAACAAAAAAAAAAAACACACACAAAAAAACGAAACAACCAAAAACGTAAGCAACAAGCAACATCATAATTACATAAAAACATATGAATACATTAACAATATAACACTACAATAAACACAATCACAGTGACAGTGGGTGGGCCACATGTGCAGGATAAAATGTTAAAAAACTCGGACGAGATAAGAAGAGGAGCAAGTAAGGAATAAGTGTGGGAATAGGTGGATCGTTGGAAAGGGACTTTAAATGCAGGAAGAGGCTTGTAGTGGGATAATGGGCAGTTGAGTTCAGGAAAGGAAGAGAGAAGGAAAGGGGGGGGGGGTTTAAGGGTGCTGCTTCAATGGAAAGGTGTGTGTATGGATGGAGGCACTGGAGGAAAAGGTTTCAAATCTGGATGTTGCTTTATTGGGAAGGTGATTGAGAACAATGGAGGAAGAAGGGTTGAAAAACTGGATGCAATTTCCATAGAAAAAAAAATAAGAATGGGGGGAAGGGTTAAATAACTGGGTGTTATTTTGATGGGAAAGTGAGGAGGGAGCAATGGAGGGAGGAGTTTATAATCTTGATGAGGCTCCAATGGAAAGATGGGAAAGGGACTGAGGAACTGACATGTTAAGAGAAAGTAGAGCTAATTAAGCAGGAATGACAAACTTACAAATAATCAAATGTGCAAAAGTAAAACCTGCAAATGTGGGGAGCTAACTGTATAACTTAGTGCATTACTGAGTTTGCAAGCATCACCTAGTTGAGTCTAACTAATTTCAGTCTATGTTTACGTATGGCAGGTTTGGGAAACTGTAGCCTGTGGGGCATATGTAACCCCTCCAGCATTTAAAAAACCCAACCCATCTGATCAATCATATGAAAAGACCCCTGATTTTTCATTTAAAAAAGAAAATACACCCTTGCCCCCAACAACAAACCACCACTCTTAAAGCAACAGGGGTTGAAACTCTCCCTTTCACGCTCTGCATCTAAAAGCTTTCCCACTTTTGCAAATCTTTCCAATTTATTTTTGCTTCCACATTGCCTTCAAGAACTCAATATTTTTTGCTTAGAGTCAGTGGGAAGCCTGCTCAAGATGGTTGCCCCATTTCCTTCTATACTTCTCACCTCGGCTGCGTCGAACCATCTCCTGGCGTGCTCCAATAGTGCCCAGAATGGCTTCCTCCAGTCGTGCTTTCATGTCCAGCGACTTCTTGAAGGTCAGGCTGTTGATCCGTTCGAAGGCTTTCTTGCCCTATGGGATGGCATGGAGTCAAGCAATCTTCAACAAGCAAGAATGCAAAAGAACATAGCTGCTCCCAGAAACAATTCCTCAATTCAAAAGGAGATGAGCCGTCGGATGCAATGACCTTCTGGCCACACTAGGGCAATGTTTGTGGCAGAGGCCAAATCTGGCAGCCTACCAGCCTAGCACCACTCTCTGCTTTTGACTCACAAAAGCAAGTATGTCAAGTTTTTAAGGACAAGGTTGCCTTTATCATTCTATTTTAGCTGACAGCCCCCAAAGACTTTTGCTGAAACAACTTGTATTATCAGACTTCACAATAGAGTTAGCCATCTACATTTGCAGATTCTCTCTTATTTATTTATTTATTTATTTATTTATTTATTATTCTGTGGATTTGATAAATATGTTTCCGCTAGGTCCTCTAGTGCAACTCTATGGTCAACTTCCATCAGAAATTAACTATCGAGTCACAGTGGGGGGCGTGGAGAATTCTAGAGAGAACTCTTTTCTAGACACTGGTCCTCCAGAATGATTCTACTGAATGTTGACCATAGGGCCACACTAGAAGATCTAGAGCAGGGGTCCACAAACATTTTAAACAGAGGGCCAGGTCACAGTCCTTCAAATTGTTGGAGGGCTGGATTATAATTAAAAATATATATGAATGAATTGCTGTGCACACTGCACATATCTTATTTGTAGTGCAAAAAACCACCTAAAACAATAAAATAATTAAAATGATGAACAATTAAAAATATATAAACTTATTAGTATTTCAATGGGAAGTGTGGGCCTGCTTTTGGCTGATGACATAGGATTGTTGTTGTTGTTGTTGTTGTGTGCTTTCAAGTCGTTTCAGACTTAGGTTGACCCTAAGCGAGGGCTGGGCAAATGACCTTGGAGGGCCGTATCTGGCCCCCGGGCTTTAGTTTGAGGACCCCTGATCTAGAGATTCCTAGAGAGGTATTCTCTCTAGTTTTATAAAGTATTTTTATTCATGGCCATGGGGGTCAACTGCCCCTTATCCCCAGCAAATGTGGAGGGATGACTGTAGTTCTGTGGACTGCTGGAAGAATGCTACACCTCTCTCACATATTTGCCTGCTTTTTTGCGTTCCAGACTTTGTGCCCGCCAAACTTGAGATGCATATCTCCCAAGGAAAAAAATGCAGCATCAAATGAATAATTTTTGTATTCTCTTGCTGTGGGTTCCAGCAAAAAAGACTTCATGGAGTTCTCTATTAACACCATGTAACACAATTTTTGTCCCTTTGTTAAAAATGTCATTTCCTAATTGGTTCTATCATACAAACATTGAGAAGTTTATTAAATTGCAAAAACTTGTTTTTAGTGGCACATCCTGCTGCACATTTTGCTATAGTCTTTCAATGAATATCTCACAGAGTCTCAACAAATTCAACATCCAGTTCTTGTGGGTTTTTTCGGGCTATATGGCCATGTTCTAGAGGCATTTTTCCTGACGTTTCGCCTGCAGGCGAAACGTCAGGAGAAATGCCTCTAGAACATGGCCATATAGCCCGAAAAAACCCACAAGAACTGAGTGATTCCAGCCATGAAAGCCTTCGACAAATTCAACATCGTTTGTGGCAGCCACAAAAATTAAGTTTCTGGAGTATAACAGTTACTTTCAAAGTATGTAGCACACAATTAAACAGGAAATAACACTTTCAAGCTTGGGGCAGAAAGGTTTTCAAATTTTGTTATGAAATGTAATTCAAGCATGTCTTTGGGTGAAGTTATTGTTAGGGTTTTTAAATATTGGAATGCATCATTGTTATTGCTATCGTGTGCCTTCACGTCATTGCCAATTGACGGTTCTTAAGGCTAAGAATATGTGATGTGCCCAAAGTCACCCAGTTGGTTTTCATAGAGAAGCAGACATTCAAACCCTGGTCTCCAAAGCCACAGTCCAACACTCAAACCTTAACCCCCATGTTTTCCCAAGTAGCAGAATAAACAAGAGCTTCCTCACAGAAGTTGAGAGATGAGAAGAATGGTTACAGCTGGACTTTGGACATGTGCAACAGCTCCCGGGAAATGTGTTTGCCAATTAAAGGCCGGATTCCAGAGTTCTCCAGTTGGAGTAAAGAAGCAAGAGAGCAGCCCATCAGACTCTGAGACTAGTCTAACCTTGTACTCAAAGCAGGACACACAGAGGTAGAGAAGGTCAAGGAGTCGGTTCACATGCAGAGCAGAGAGGTCAGCAAGCCAACGGTGGAGCACTGCTTCATCTGCATTCTTCAGCACCCAAAGGAAACACACCAGCAGGTTGCGACTTCCTTCGGCAGACAGCATGCTGTACTGACGAGGAGGCTGGGAACAAACAAAGCCCAAGCTCAAGACACAGTCATAGAATTCACATAACAGACACCCACTGTGCTCATAAAGCTTTAAATACCAAAGGAATGCAACACAATAGATCAACCTATAATGGTTATAACAGTAGCTGTAATCCTAAGAGAGAATACACACATATATAAAGCCTTTTTTGATGAAACTTGATAGGCACTGAAGCCCTCTGGATTCATTCCGTTGGGACTTCACAGATTTCCAATAGGTGAAGAGGCTCCTCACTTTGGATATATCCTAATTGTCAGGTTTTACAATGTATTGTAGTATAATATAGCTGAGTCATGCACTGCTAATAGGCTTCTATTGGAAATGCTGAGTCATGCATTAACTGTATATAGGGAATGTGTTCTGGCCTAGTCCAGGTGATTGTGAATGATGTAATCCTGGGTCTGAGTTAAGTTAATGAGTTGGGAACCAATCAGAGATTGCTATGTGTAAAGGTAAAGAATTGTATATAAGGAAGTCATGTACAGTGTATTTTCTCTCCTTGTGCTGTGATGCTGTTCGTCGAAGGCTCTATGTAATTGATTAAAAGAACCTGTCTGCTAAGACAAGATATAACTGTGTGCTGTGGTAAGTTTGTAATGTCATCTAGACTGGGAGAAAGACAATGGTAAAACTGACAATGGCCGGGCATGTGCTCAAGTGTCTGTAAAAGGTTCCAGAGTGACTGCAGGCTGTGGGAGCAGTTGACTGAAAATACTGTGCAGGAAGAAGCTACTGGAAAGCGCTGAAGTTGTGCAACTGATCTGCTGCTGAACTGTGAAATTCATCTCAACACTAATCTTTTAAAAACCTGTTTCTAACAGGCCAGGATTCCTCAACCCAACATCTGTGCTCTGCTTCCCTTGCCCGCCCCCCTTCCACCAACCTTAGCCTGGGAATCCATGCACACTCACCACTGACGGCATCTGGAAGACAGTGGAACGGTGAGCATGAGGCAAGGGGGAGCCGGCAATGGCCATGGCAACTGACTGGCTAATGGTGCTGCCATCTCCCTCTCCATCATCAACCATCACAGAGGCAAGCCGTCCTCGTTGGTTATGGGTCTCTGTAAAGAAGAGACTATTTCTCTTTGTCCCGAGCAGAAGTGTTTCTTAAATGCACTGGGCTGAAACAACATCGTCTAATTGGGGAGGTGGGCGATGCAACCTTTCCCCCTGCTAACATGATGGCTTAAATGTAAAGTAACTATACCATAAAGACTGTGTAGATCAGACCTTAGCCAGTGAAACTGGACAACTGACTGAAAAAGTAGCACTTTAGGTCAACCCGTCTGACACAGATGGATTGAGCAGTCAACTGGCTCCTCTCTAAGAAAGTGGAAAGGTACTAAGGGTGGATGGCTCGCTGCCCATAAGAGGGATTCTTCTTCCTCCACCACCTCCCGCATCTTCTTCTGCCACTTACTGCTAAGAAGAAATGTTCCCTGATCTCACCTGTGAAATCATAGAGTTGGGGCAAGGCGTCCATTGTGATGCCAATCAGAGGCAAGTAGAGCTGGGCCACGTGTGCCCGCACGGCACGGTCCATATAGCGGTTGTCAGAGTCATGGCTGCACAGTAGGTTGTGGAGAGTGCTGATGGCCTTCTTGTGCAGGAAGAAGGCTCTGAGGAAGGATGTGAGCAATGTTGTCAGAAAGGACTTACACTGAAAAGTTCTTGGAGTCCTAACCATTAAACTCCGCTGCCTCATTCAATCTTAATTGCTTCAAATCAGTGGTTCTCAACTTTTAGTCCTCTGGGTGTTTTGGATTTCAACTTCCAAAAATCCCAGCCTACTTGCTAGCTGTTGAGAATTGTGGAAGCTGAAGTCCAAAATACCTGGACCAAAGATTGAGAACCAATGTCTAGATAATTGAGAAAACCCTAGTCCATTGCTATCTTCCATTTGCTTTCTCTGCTGGTATTATTATTATTATTATTATTATTATTATTATTATTATTATTACTACTACTACTATTATTTACACCATTTTGACCCCGCCCTTCTCACCCCCGAGGGGGGACTCAGGGCGGCTAACACAGGCAGTAATTCAATGCCACAATATCAGTAACATAATATAAAATCATCATACATAGCAAAGTTAAAAACAGTAACATTAATTAAAATCACATAATCACAAATCACAAAGGCACATAGCCGTTTCCAATTGTCGTAACAGTCCTATGTAACAGTCCACCAACGCCCTACCTCCTCTATCTTGTTCATGCCCAGCATTATTTTTAACTTTAATTACATTTGGTCCAGCCATAGATTTTAAATGTGTTTTGTGCTATTGTTCAATGTTTATGCTATTTATGTATGAGTTTTATTTTTAATTGCTTTGTATTAGGATTTGTATTTTGCTTTGTATTGTGGTTGTTATTGCATGTATAGATGTATTGTGGGCTCGGCCTCATGTAAGCTGCATCGAGTCCCTTGGGAGATGGTAGCAGGATATAAATAAAATTTTTATTATTATTATTTATTATGGTCCGAGTTCAGTGTCTAAAGTGCTGCTGTGCCCACTAGCCAAAGGCCTGGGTCCAAAACCACGATTTTAGTTTTTTCCTAAAAGAAAAGAGGGAGGACACCAATCTGATCTCACTGGGGAGCGAATTCCATAAGCGGTGGGACCGAGAGCAGGGCCTCCCCAGCAGAGTGTAAGTATTTAGTGTGTTCCAGATTTTTATTACTGTAATATGCCTATGAGGTTCAGGTATTAAACCACTTAGAGCAGTCAAGCAATTCCTGATGGAGACTATGTTGAGGAACATACTTACCCCTCAGCATCTGGATCCAAGATGAGTGCCAGCTCCATTAGCACCAAGCCTGCCAGAAAGTGCTGCTGCCGAAAGGCCACAGACAGCTCAAACATGTTGGCCACTCGCTGATCCTGAGTGTGGCTGGAGAAGGCTGAGCCCTGGAAAAGAAAAAGCATATGAGAAATCATGCAGAACTGTCTACCAGAAACTACTCCCAGAGTGCCATGAATTCTTCATGTCCTTAGCATCACACGGCAAAAGTGCAGCATTTTTTTCTCATAGTAACCCAACTGCCTTTCCCAGATCAGTTGCTATAATTTAGTTCAAGGATGGGAAGCCTCTATTATCCAGCCTACTACAACTGTTTCACAATTTCTGCACCTTCTCCTTATAATGCTCGATAAGTCGCCCATGCTCTTATCTCTGATCAAAGAAAAAAGCTGGGATTCCTCTGTTCCGTGCTTAAGAAAGATCACCTTTCTCCAGATTAAGAGGTGACACGACAGCCACTTGAACGGATGCCATATTTAAGATGGAGCTGGCTGGTTTTCTGCTGCTCTGGAGACTATGGAACAATGGATAAATGGATTGAAACTGTATAAAAAGAGGTTCCACCTAAATATTAGGGAGAACTTATGGATAAGAGCTGTTTGACAGTGCAATATGCTGCCTTGGAGTGTGGTGGAGTTCCCTCCTCTAGAGATTTTTAAAGACATGCTGGATGGCCATTTGTCGGGAGTGCTTGGATTACATATTTCTCCATGGCAGGGGATTCGAATAGATGGCCCTTGTGGTCTCTTCCAATTCTATGATCCTATGAACCATCACTGATTTTCAGTTGTGAGAAACATTAACTTCTCAGCTAAAGTCAGCTCAGTTCCACTGCTCTTCTTATAATCACAGAATCAAAGAGTTGGAAGAGACCTCATGGGCCATCCAGTCCAACCCCCTGCCAAGAAGCAGGAATATTGCATTCAAATCACCCCTGACAGATGGCCATCCAGCCTCTGTTTAAAAGCTTCCAAAGAAGGAGCCTCCACCACACTCTGGGGCAGAGAGTTCCACTGCTGAACGACTCTCGCAGTCAGGAAGACCATAACAGGACAATCCTGCCAATTTTTTTCTACCCACATTCTAAAGCAGTATTTCTCAAACTGTGTTTCTCCAGGTGTTTCAGACTTCCAACCCCCAGAAATCCAAGCCAGCTTACCAGCTGTTAGGAATTGTGAGAGCCAAAGTCCAAAACATCTGGAGGAGCACAGTTTGAGAAACTCTGTTCTAGAGCCATTTACCACTTTGGCTTTTCTCAGCTTCTACTGAGCTAAGTCCTATGTTTTGAAGAGATAGCTTCTCACCATCGGGAAATATAAACTCTTCCTCTTTCAAAATGTTCTTGGAAAAACTACTTCAGCAAAGCCTTTTTAGGCTACATATCTCACTGCTACCACGTGCACTGAAGAGCCCACTGCTGGGCTACTTACAAAGACATGCTTAAAAAAAAATAAGGCTAGATGTAATAATAGTAATAATAATAATAATAATAATAATAATAATAATAATAATAATCTTTATTTATACCCCGCCACCATCTCCCCAAGGGGACTCAGGTGGCTTACATGAGGCCAAGCCCAACAAAATACATCAGTAAAAACAACACAGTGAACAAGAAAATAAAACACACTGCAATTATTAAAAATAACATATAAGCTATAATACAGTGAGAAGTTTAAAACACAGCGGGCAGGGCCAGTTGTAGTCGATTAAAAATTTTAAAAGCACTTGGCGTGAACAGAAGTAGGGTATATCTAATGGGGGGGGGGGTTAAAGGGTAATGTAGGGAGATCACTCCAACGGGTAGATAAAGTGCTTCAGAGGACATTTTTCAGGAAATTAGTCAGAACAGGACATTGTTTCCTTTATTCAGGGAAGGCACACTGGAACAGCCATGTTTTCAAGCTGCTCCTAAAGACTGCCAATGTGGGGGTTTGTCTGCTATGCTTGGAGAGTGAGTTCCAGAGTTGGGAGGCGGGCCACCATAGAGGAGGCCCTCTCCCTCATCCCCATCAATCGCGCCTGCGAAGGGAGCAAGAGGAAGAGCAGGGCCTCTCCAGATGATAGAAGAGATCGCGTGGGTTCATACACAGAAATGCGGTCACGCAGGTAGGCAGGTCGCAAACCGTTCAGGGCTTTGTAGGTAAGAACATACAATTGGGACCGGAAAATAAACGGCAGCCAATGGAGCTCCTTGAACAGGGGAGTTGACTGCTCCCTGTAAGTTGGACCAATTGAAATTTCCGAGCCATCTTCAAGGGCAGCCCCACATAGAGTGCATTACAGTAATCCAATCTGGAGGTGACTAAGGCGTGGATCACCATGGCCAGATGGAGGAGAAATCAATCTAAGCCTAACAGAAAGAAACAACAGGCCTCCAGATTAGTTTGTTGGAGATAAGAGTGCTAAGTCAATGGCCTGAGACATCAAAAATATTGTTTTTTTCATCATCTCATCACTTGTGTCTGCATACTTACTTGGGAGGTTGCTGAGGAAACAGATGGGGATGGGGAAGCAGGTGGGGAGAGGCCACTGCAAGGTAGGTTCAGGGTGACATAGTGCTCATGGCTACAAGTAATACGGATCAAATCCATCCTCAGTCCAATGAGAGTATTAGGGTTCTGTGTTGTCAGCAGCCGATTATTGATCTAGAGAGGAAGAAGAAGCCCCTGGTTATTTGGGGACATGGTATAACAATGTAGACAAATCACCTGACACTTACCCCAAATAACTCTCTTTCCCCAACACTAAATTACAACCATCCTCCTCAACTGCCATAAAAACATTATGTGCATATTCCCTCCTGTTCAAAGAAGGTAACAGTTCTTATGGAAATAGCAGGATCATTCTGGCTCACGATAAAACAAGGCAACTAAACAGCGGCAAAACTACTCTGACCAATTTTGGATGAATTTGCCAGATACCATTTTTTTTCACTATAGGCACTGCAGTTGTCCAAATTTCACCCTCTGAGGTAGGGGGTGAGAAAACACTTCAATGTTGTTGAGTGGTGGGGCGGCTTAGGTGGTTGAGGGTTCTTTGAAGCTTGCGAAGCCTTTGAAGTGGTTCATCCTTTAGAAGGAGCCATTGGTGGCACCAATGTCGATGGAGCCAGGACTTGTTGGTAGAGCAGTGCCTTCAGCCTGGTCGCTGTGTTCTTGCAGGCCTGGGCCCTGAAGACCTGACAATGCTGGTATGAGCCAGCCACATGGCTCTCCCCAAGGCAGAGAAGGCACTTGGATTGGCCATCGGAATCCAGAATCGTTGAAGCACATAGGAAACATTGTTTGAAAGGAGTCGTTGACATCCCCCGGGTGCACCATGATGATCCCGTTGCTTGGGAGCCAGAAGAGGCAAAGGACGGGAGTGATACTTGTGAGTAAACCCAAGTATTCACACAAAAATGTTACATAGATTATACCCTTGTAAATAACAACTTGTTCACTTCTTTCCTTTATAGTACTTCAATCTAGAGAAGACATGGACAAACTCTGGCCCTCCAGGTGTTTTGAACTTCAACTGCCACAATTCCTAACAGCTGGTAAGCTGGCTGGGATTTCTGGAAGCTAAAGTCCAAAACACCTGGATGGCCGAAGTTTGCCCATGCCTGATCTAGAGATGGTACACATTTGACAAAGCACAGCAAGAGACCAAATTTTCCTGGAAACAGTGGAGGAAGAAGTGAGTTCTGGTATATCACATAAAGCCTTTAAAACTGCTATATGGTGTGTCAAGATCAAAGCAGCTATAAAGTATGATTTAAAAAATGTGCAGACAAGCCCCAGAAGAAAGGATCTGAAAATTTTAGGAAGGAAATGCACCCCCCCCCCCCCCCCCCCCCCCCCCCCCACCTGACTCCTGTTCCACAAAGACATGGTCACAAGCCTGTTTACTAAGCTTCTATGCTCAATGTTCAGTTAGGAATCCTGCAGTACATACCATTCCCCACAGAAAGAAAACCCCAGTCCTGTGTGCCAGTCAACATGGTCTCTGTCCAAATGTACAGAGATTATCTAAGAGAAAGGGCACCATCACTTTCTCTTGTTACCTGCTTGTAATAGGAGCGCAGAAGGAGGAAGACAAAGCCACGATCCATGAGGGAAAGTAGATCATTGAGGAAGAAGGCCAAGCTGCTGTTGAGACGTTCTACCAGCTCCACATCCTAAGGAAGAAGATCAATTATATGCGAGGTAGTAACTAAAGAGACCTCCATGGGTCTTTGGTGGGATCAGATAGCAAGGAAGTCAAAGGGTATGTGATTATGTAGGATGCTGTGAACACGGCGGGCAAGACACAAATGAACAAAGCTCTAGTACATTCCCCATATCATGCCATTAGGGCTTGAGCAGGAAAACGTCTTACCATGTTTTATCATATTTCATCAGATCTAGGAAGAACAGGGAAGAAATTTGCCTAACAAAGTTTGGCTTTCTATAAAGTTATGTAACATAACAATTTATTATTCAAAACTAACTAGTTTTCAAATCTTAGCTTAAAGTTTCTTAGCTGTACTGTATTTGCAAGTATGTTCACATAGATTCGTGGTAGAATTTGGGACATATATCAATCCATCATTTTTAAGTGCTACTGCAAATCCACCATGAAGGTAACTCATTATTTTTATGTTGCAAGATGTTTGAAATTATCATTTTATAACAATGTTATTTTGTTTCACATGCTTTTTTTAGAATTTACATTTTAGACAAAACTCGGATCACAGTAATTTGAACCACAAAGGACCCAATCATTTGAAGAAGATGAACATTACACAATAGCACATAATTGTTTATACTTATGCTTTCTGGAAAGAATAGAAGAATCTGTAGCTAATTTCTCCTGAACATGTTACATGATGAGGCAGAAGTGCTTCATGTAGCACCTTTTGAAACCCATCACAAGTTAACATGCCCTCAAGTCATGGTTGGATGGGTAATTTGGATCCACCCCAACATACTTGCCAGCCCGTGCAGATTTAAAAGCCCAAACCTTTTGGCAACGACTAGCAATTTCAGCACTGATGGTGCACACCAGAGCAGAGATGTCATCAACAAATCGGCCAGGAAAACGTAATTTGCGAGGTGCCTCTAGCTTGTCACATAGGAAGAGGTGGTGTGCCATGCTCTTAACCTACAAGAAGGAAGCAGAATGAAGGGGAAGTAATCCTGGATCAGCAACAAAAGACCAATGCACACATGTCTTTGGGGCCTCCAATCTGGACCTGATGAACCAACTTGTACAGCCACCAAAGACTGATGAAAACCTTTGCTTGTGATAGTCATTAACAAGAATAAATTGGATATTTCACTTTGTCTCTCTACACAACATGGACTGGGAATTATTTCTACTTTTCAAGT